TGGCATGTGCCTGTGCCAAGTAACGAAACAGGTCGTGCCGTGCATCTGGATCGAAAGTACAGGCTCGGGCCGAAGATGCGAGTCAACGATCCTGGCTTGAGGGTCGGACAGTGCCAGCCGCTGCCTTCGATGAGGCTAAATCAGAGGATAAGCTCTCAGATAGGTATGAGACGTGTAGATACTGTCCGACGATGGAATTAGATGATCATCTTCAGATTCCTGAGCTGAAGCCAAGTGATGACGATGATCTGGGACAGTTGACGGCGGGGTGGCGGGGTAGCTCGGTTTACGGCATATGCATCCTATGCCCTTTTGGTGTCTATACCGCTTATAAGGACATTCTCCTCTCGTGTCCATCCATTCCTCTCGTCAACGCTCCAAGCGGCATCCCTCCTCTTGCTTTTCCGTCATCCCATTATTGCTCGGGACGATCCGCGTGACGTGAGAGCACCGAAGCTGAAACTGAACTCTGAGTCGACTGGGTCTCCATGCGCCATCCGACCTGCCCAGGCCTTGCCACTTGACGCATTCGCAGACACAGCCGAAGAGAGTCCACTTGTCTTGTACGACACACCTTCTCTGACCATGCCCATCACGGCGAGTATTGACGAACATCTCGGCACCAAAAGGACAGCATCATGCCAGGTGCAACATGATCGACGGCGAAGCGTCTGACTCGATTCATCAAGCCTCTCTCGCCATCACATGCATTGTATGGCAGGTCGTCAAAACTCGGTTGACGCTACTCGCCCACCGAAGCTCAGCCCTCCCGTTTCACAGCGTCGTTGCACAGCCATGCCAATCGAGAGCTTCCGCCCACGCAGCCCAACGCCTCCCTAAACTCTATTCAGCACAACATGTCATATGCAGCCCTCCGCCTCCCAGAGCTGGACCCGGCCCCCCTCCCCAAAGCCTAGATCCGAAAACAAACGAGAAGCCAGTCCCAGGCATGGCCTGCAAACGTACTTCTTCGGCTCACCATTTCATCTGCCGACTGTGCATCTCAGCCGCGGAGGTGGAGGGAGCTTCGATTGGACGTCCTCAAACCGTGCATACTAGTCTCATCACAGCTTCGGTGGGAGTGCGGGCTGTACTGTAGAAGTAGGGGCAAGGAACGTGAGCCGACTGGAGAGGCTGTGGTACGCGCCCGTCGCCCACGGAACACACCTACCCCGCGTCTGGCCGTGAGCACGCTCGTCGAGGCTGCTCAGCTGCTTGCTCAGCATCCCACGATGTGACTTTGGCGTCTGGCTGTGGACGGGTGCAGCGAGGCCCATGGCTGGCTGAATGAAGGCTTCAGAGCATGTCTGAATGCAACCTGCTGAAGAGAGCGCCGTTGCATGCCTGTGGCGTCTGAGGGCTTGTGACAGTGACTGTTGTCTGGGCGGTGGCATATGACGTGAAGAAAAAGCAAAGCAACGTGATCGACGATGGGTATAAAGACCAGTCCCATGGGCTGTTGAAAAAGACCTGTTGAGAAGCTGGTGAAGCATCAGATTCAACTTGAGCATAGAAACAGCTAACCGCGCTTACATCCATACACCACTACGCAAGACCACCACCCTCCAATATCACCATGTCAGGAGAGACCATCCCAGGCGAGTGGCTCGTCACCCTCAAGCCCTATGCCAACGAGTCCATCGACTCGGAGCACACTTCCCTCCTGAGCACCCGCACCGCCGACCCGGACACGCACTTCAACTGCGATGTGCAGTGCCACTTTGCCCTGCCCGAGCTGCGCGGCTACAGCGCAAAGTTCGACGACGCCACGCGCGCCGAGGTCGAGGCCCTGCCCGAGGTCCAGGCCGTCGAGCCGCTGCAGGTATACCGCCACTGCGCCGCCGCCGGCGCGACGGCCGTGCAGTCCAACGCGCCCTGGGGCCTGGCGCGCATCTCGCAGCGGGGCCGCGTGTCGCCCGCGGGACCGTGGGAGTACAAGTACGACGCCAACGCCGGCGCCGGCACCGTGGCGTACATCCTCGACACGGGCATCCGCGACACGCACGACGAGTTCGAGGGGCGGGCGTCCAAGGGCCCGACGTTCTCGCAGGGGCGGCCGGCGAGCGACGAGGACCGCGACGGCCACGGCACCCACGTCGCCGGCACCATCGGCGGCAAGACGTACGGCGTGGCGAAGAAGGCCGAGCTCGTGGGCGTCAAGGTCTTCAACGACGACCCGCAGCCCGGCGCGACGAATGCCGACATTATCCGGGCGCTCGAGTGGGTCGTGGACCAGGTCAAGTCGCACGGCAAGCCTTCGGTCGTCAACATGAGCCTTGGCGGCGGCGCTTCGGCGGCGCTTGATGCGGCCGTGGCTTCGACTGTCAGGGCTGGCATCGTGGTTGTTGTCGCCGCTGGCAACGACGGCGTGAGTAGAACCCAGAGTGATGAGCGTAGTGCGTCTGGACGCTGACATGTTCCGAACAGCGACCTTCTGATCGCGGGTCACCAGCTCGGGAGCCCCTGGCCATTACCGTTGGAGCGTCCGACGTCAAGGATGCTGGGGCGAATTTCACGAGCTGGGGCAAGAGTGCGTAGTTTGGCATATCGTGATCATGAGAAAAGGTGCTGACATGGACCAGTTGTCGACATCTTCGCGCCTGGCGTGGATATCAAGTCTTCGTGGAACACTGGCGATGATGCCGTGGAATCTCTCAACGGGACATCGATGGGTACGTCTCCTTACCAATGCCTGGGGGATTTTAATCAAGAAACCTCTAACCTTTCTCCAGCGTCGCCTCACGTTGCTGGCGCCGTCTGTTACCTTTTGAGCCAGAAGAGAGTGGAACCCCTGCTTGTGATGCCACAGCTGCTGGGCTGGGCGGACAAGAACAAACTGACAGGGCTCAGAGAGCGGACCATTGACGCGCTGCTCGTAGTGTCAGACAATTAACTATCGACGACGTGCTGTTCAAACTGTGGTATCAGGGCATAAACGACCAGCGAAGGGAAGGGGGGTTTTGGAATGCCGCGGCAAGGTGCTCTGGCTTGGTCGATTTTTTGATCGTGACGCAGTGTGCAGATCTATAGTCGCTCTCGCCCCGAAATCGCAACGCTTTCCTGAACTCTTGTGTCTTCGTTCTTCTCCAGCATGTGATGCGTCCTTCCTCACGCCCAAAGATGTGCCTGAAGATGCCAACGCCCCCTCTAGTCTGTTCCCTCCTTTGGTATCAACCCCGGCCTCCGTTGTAATCCGCACCGCCCGCCTTGCGCAACCTCTTGACGATGTCTTGCAGGTCGAGATCGCTCTTGTCGCTCGCGTTCACCTGGATGCTGTGGTGCGCCAGGACGCGGCCGACTTCGCCGGCCTCGATGCTGACGCGGGCTTTTCGCATGACCTTTGTGTTCTCGCCGATCCAGACAATGAGGGCGAACTTGACGCGGGTGCTCTCCGAGTCGTTGGCATACTCGACGCGGACGTAGCCGTACTGCACCTGGTCGTCCTGCAGCTCGGCAGCGAGGGCCGTGACGTCGCCAGTGCCCGTCTTGGTGAGGGTGAGGTCTTTCGAGGTCGGCGAGGGGTTCGAGACGAGGAGCCAGGTGATCTCGTCCTTGTCGGAACGGACGGCGTCGTAGGCGGCGGCGACCTCGGGGGAGCTGACACCGGACATGATGAACGAGGTGGACGTGTTCGTGGAGAGCAAGCCAGGTGCCGAGCAAAAAGGGACTCAATCGCAGCGTGGCCAAGGGGATTCTCGGTATGCGGGCGACTCGGCCAAGGTAGGGGGGGGGGTTGCGGTGAGGCACAAGAGCGGCGCGGGGTGGCATCGATCTAGAATCGCCTCTTCAGGGTCGAAAATGGTCCATTGGGGGGGTCAATTGAGCGTTGCCCCACACGCGCCCCGCGATCTGTTATCTAATCGCATTCTGCATGCACAACGCAGAGACGGTGAACCTGGATGCTGCGATACTCTCGATGCCCTCGACACCATTTGGCCGCAGCCGTAGCACACTCCCGGTTCTTTATGATACTGGCAGTGTCTATTGAGGGAGTTAGAGAATGCTGGTCATCATTGAAAGGCTCTGCCCTGAATGAACTCCATCCTCTTGGCCAACCATTCTTCCCTTGTCGTCCTCCATCATCACGGCAATGAGGTTGGCTTATGATAACAGGGCAGTTCATCTACCCTGAATATCAAGCTCGGCACATGGCGCAGGTTGATGTAACAGTGGAAAGGACTGCTTGACATCGGCATCGCAGTCGGTCATCCGGCCAGTATATACGGTATGGTAAGTAAGATCAAACGTGATCCTTACTCTAATCCTCAGCGGTAAGATAGTCGCTTGCAGCCCTGGATTATGCCGCCTCAGCATGCACTTCACAGGATGACCCTAAGCTTTTCTCATCAGAGTACTCTACAAATACATCACGACACGTGCTCCGTTCCAGATACGTGACGAGATGCTGACGAGATGCTGAAAATGGAATCTTCAGACTTGCCGGCTGGCTAAAACTCCACATACGAAATCAATTGGTCTGCAACGATGGAAAGGCTATCACGGGCGATCCTCCTTCATTTGACCCACCAGACTGTCTGTTATCTGCCGAATACCGTCGTGACTGTGCCCAAGGATTTGGCTGTGTATAGGGCTGTGTATAGGTGGCGAGCAATGGCACAGCCTGATGTCAGAATGCAGCAGGCCCTGACAGATCCGATACGCGTAAAGCCGCCGAAGACGGCAAGATACGTACTGAACTGGGTGTTGCATCGCATCTTCATTGGTCGCTTCACACACTTAGCCATTCCTTGGAGATCATCACTGCCAACTCCACAATCAGGCAACAGAATTGCCAGTCCAGTCACCTGCACCTCAAGTCTGCCTTGTCCATCAAAAGGCAGAAGATCCAATGGCCCGTCAAGAGCCTACAGGCTTCACTGATACATGTCTCGCTGATACATGTCCATCATATAAACTCAACGATTTCCCATTGAAGACTTGACTTTCTTCACTACCCTCATTGCTCAATACTTTGCATCGTACCCTGATTGCCGCCCACCATGTCGCACAAGAATGAAAGCACGGACGAAACATACTGCCGCAGTAGCATCGATTCAGCAATGCTAGGCGTCGATGTTGAAAAGGCCAACTTGCTGCCGAAGCCATCGGCCTCATCCGACGACGAGGTCCAAGCGACTTGGAAGGCCAACGAGGGCCTCAAACCTGAACCTTCTGCCGCAGTTCATCATGACCGAGCGCAGCCTGCTGCTCTCGACCACTCTCCAGTGGCTAGTTTCGTCGAAAGACATCCCCACTTCAACATCACCGTGCCCCTATTCATTTGGCTCGGTAATCCATTCATATGGTGGAAGATGGGCTGGGACTCGAGGGGCACTTTGCTCATGGGCACTGCCCAATCTCTGGTTGCTATTGGGCTCACCACCGCCATAGTACGTTCACATTCTTTACATCTATCTAATCGAGGAACCATTTCTATTATATCTGTTGAACTAACCACATCACTTATGCAGTGGAGCTTCCTCACATCGGAGTCCCGGGGTCAACACGCTATCGACTGTACCATCGACCGAACTGCGAATGAGGGGGAAGACCGCCCGAAAGAGAAGCCCGGGACGACTGAGACTGCTGATGATGTCAAATCTCCCGTGCTGGATGCGCCTTATGCTTCCAAAAGATCAATGACAGCGGAAGGCGCAGCTTCGTGGAAAGGCCAGGGAACAAAGTCAACGGTAGTATTCCTGTGGATGATGGCCGTGGTTTCCGTGACAAACGCCCTCATCAGTCTTCCGTGGAGCCAAGCCAGCCCGCTAGCATGTCAGACACCTTCTCACCGCGTGTCCTTTCAATTAGGGAAGCATCGCGTTTCGATCGCGCCTCCTATGGAGTGCCAGATCAAGGTCACGGCGTGTGCAGACTCAGTGGACAGCACCTTTGTAAGTGACAGCATCACGGAGAAGCTTGCTGGCTGCCTGAGACGCACCCCAAACCACCATCATTCCCAGATGCCCAACATTGAAACGTGTCTGGCCAAGATTGAAATCCCCGGGCACTGGAATGAGCCTGGGTCGACACGCGTGTCGACAGCAGTCGCCATGTGGGAATCGAAGCATGATTGTTGATGGGCACCGTGGACCTCCGCCAACTTGTGTTGGTGTTGTCTTTCCAGCGCGAAGCACCTTGGACGAAGCACTTCGGGGATTAGAACACGGACCGGACCAGCGCTGTATCTATGAAAGGAATTGGATTCATTTTTCTTGAGCCGACTTCACTTTCTCCCTCAGACTTTATGGTCCCTGCCACTCGCCATCACATTTCCTGGTCACGTCATGAGGCGACCCCGCAATGCGCCTAGATGATGCGTGCGATGGTGATCAGCGGCCAAGACTCTCGGCTATGATTTCGATGGATATGGGTATGTTCTCGCGCGCTGTCGCTTGTTTCCTCAGTTTTCAAATTGAATGTATACCCAAAGGACAATCTTGCTTTCCTCATGACTTCTTGGCTCTTTCGTGCTCTCGCTCTCTACATCACATTCGAGTCAACTTGCCAAACGATAATAGATCAGGCGGGGTCAAATTATCATGCGTGACTCGACATACAAGGAATTTGATTCATTCACTTGCTTTCCAGTTCTAAATCCCTGTCTACAGATCCATCATGGCAAGATTCTGAACCACACTAAACCGCAGTCCTGTTGAATTTGATTCATTCACTTGCTTTCCAGTTCTAAATCCCTGTCTACAGATCCATCATGGCAAGATTCTGAACCACACTAAACCGCAGTCCTGTATGTCGCCATCAAAAGCTCCGCTGCAGCCTCCGGATGTCGGGGGCCTCTGCATAATCACCGCAGCGGTACTGGAAGCATACTAATCTAGGAAAAGCTATCAGCAGTGGGTGGATGAGGATATCAGGATAGCGTTGCAACGGCGGCCAAAATGAGCCGAACATGATTCGGGAAGGAGGCTAACACAAATCACTTGCAGACCGCAAACCAATCATTGATCGAGATGGGCTAGAGACTATAAAAGGATGGGGATAACCTGATGCAGAGTGTTCGCATTGGGGTGCCGATCGTAAGACGTACCCTACTCTCCAGTAACTCATGATGAGGTTCATTATTGCGGTTTTCCTAGTTACTTTGTTGGTATCCGCCAACAGTATCGTGTCTTACGACGGATACCAGGCTCTTCGTGTGCGTTCTGAAGGAGACCTCCCGGCCGTAAAAAGCAAACTCTCCAAGCTCTCGTATGACGAATGGGAGCGAACCGCTGACGACATCACGATCACGCTATCACCCGAGCAAATCCCAGCCTTCATGAGCCTGGGTCTTAGACATGACGTTATGCATGGTGACCTGGGCGCATCCATCAACGCCGAGTCTGCATCCGACGCAGAGTGGAAGAGGCAAATTGATGACTTGGCTTGGTACGACTCTTATCACCCATACGATGACCACAAGGCGTACTTTGAGGAACTTCACGCGGCTCACCCGGACCACTCGGAAATCATCTCTACTGGAACTTCTTATGAAGGTCGAGACATTTTTGGCATTCATTTCTGGGGAGATGAGGGCCCTGGAAAGCCAGCGGTTGTCTTCCACGGCACTGTTCACGCCAGAGAATGGATCTCGGCACCAGTCATTGAATACGTAACCCTGCAACTTCTGACCGGCTACGGCAACGACAACCAGACAACTGTCGCCCGGGACAGTTATGACTTCTACATCTTCCCTTTTGTGAACCCCGACGGTAGGTCAGGCAATGTCTGCCAGCGAAACTCTTGACTGACAGCCACAGGATTCGTCTACACGCAGACAAACGACCGCCTTTGGCGTAAAAACAGACAACCACCTCCTAACAACTCGACAACCTGCTGGGGCCGCGACATCAACCGCAACTGGCCCTACAAATGGGATGCCGACCCGAACGGCGCTTCGTCTGATCCGTGTCACTTCGGCTATAAGGGCGAGGCCCCTGGCGACACCCCCGAGATGGCCGGCCTGCATGGCTTCATCGACAAGCTTCGCGACGCGAACGGCATCAAGCTCTTCATCGACTGGCACAGCTACAGCCAGTACCTGCTTGCGCCGCTCAGCTGGAACTGCACGCAGTATATCCCCAAGCTGGGCCAGCACATCAATCTTGCACGGCGCGCGACGCGAGCCATTCGCGAGGTTGAGGGGACGCAGTTTGTCTTCGGACCAAGCTGTGCCACGCTGTACGTGGCTACAGGGTACAGCATTGACTATGCGTATGAGGTGGGCAAGGCCGACTGGGCGTACCTCATTGAGCTTCGGCATACGGGGAATCACGGGTTCGTGCTGCCACCGGAACAGATCAGGGGGAGTGCAGAGGAGCAGTGGGTGGGATTCAAAACCATTCTGCAGTATTTGGACGTTGAGGATATTTTTGAAGCCTGAACCTTTCACTGCATGCTGCGAGAGCGCACTGGTAAATAGGAGGCCAACATTGGCAACGTGCCCCATGCTCGACATCATGCCGGGAACAAAACAGCATCCCGTGTTTGTTAAAGTGGCTTTACGAATCCGAGTCAGTATTACAATGGACACGCGTGTCGTCGAGACAGGATTTGAGAGTAATTTGATTTTCTAGATAAAGGTATGCAAAGTTTATGTTCCATCAAGTCATATCTGGTGTGTATGTACGTTGTAACATCTCCCTCAAACGAGCAGGAGCGTCCAGCGGCAGTTACAGACCGCTCGTCCTAGATGTCTTGACCAGAGCACAATATATACAGGGGGTTTTGGTCTGGGGGACAAGATACTTTCTTGTCACATGGGAGCACTCTCCAGAACCGAATGCGTGATCGCGTAGCTGGAGATAGTGCCCGCGATTGCTTAACGCCAGGTGCCGTCGACGGTGACGGCCGAGGCGCAACCGGTGGGAACGGTGTACGAGCGGTTGGGGTCGCTCTCCCAGCGGACGGATCCGTCAGACTGGACGTTGATGAACTTGTACTGGAAGGTGGTGCCGGCGGGCAGCGTCACGGTGTAGGTCCAGAGGGGACGGGAGGTAGTGTAGCCGGAGGCGGACAAGGCGGGAGCGGAGGCGGGGGTCCAGCTACCCAGCTGAGAGATGGAGCCAGCAAGCTTGATGGTCTGGCCCACGACAGTGGTTGCCAGGGTGTTGAAGGTCACGGCAACGTTGGCAGCAGGGGTGCAGGCACCAGTGGTGGTGGCAGCAGCAGCAGCTAAGAAGGGACATGTTAGCGCGAATCCTTCACACAGGAACCTAGATGGTGAACGTACTGGTGGTGGTGCGGAGAGTTGTAGGGGCGACAGCAGTGGTAGGGTTGTTGTTGCTGCCACCGTTGATCGCGATATCAGCGCAGGTGAGGTAGACCTGTCCAGTCTGGAACGAGTTCCAGCGGAAGGAGAGCAGGGTGTGAGCAGAGTTGTAGTTGGGAATCTTGATCTTCTTGGACACCTTGTATCCACCGGCGATCGAAGTGTAGCAAGAGCCGAGGGCAGCGCCATCAACACCCTGGCAGGCGCGGCGGTTGCTGGCCTGGAAGGCGTTGCAAGTGAACCAGTCGTTGCGCCAGCAAGGCTGGCCCGGCTGGCAGTCAGGGTTGAAGCCGCAGCTCTGGCCGGTGACATCAGTGCAAGGAAGGGTGCCGCGCTGGAAGCACTGCTCGGCAGCCTCCTTCTCAGCTTCGGTGGGGAGGTATCCAGGAGTGATGAACTTGTTGACCAGGGCTTGGTCCTGGCAGATACGGTAGCTGAACATGCCACCGTGATCGCCGTTCGCATCGACACTAATGGTTCAGAGTACTTAGAATGGGACCGATCCTGAGAGCATGGGGGGGACCCTGCAGGGTTTCCCGGCAGCGATGCCGAGAGTCCTGGTCTAGTATGGGTACGGAAAAGTGTGGGACTTACCACCACTCAACATCGACAGTCTGGCCAGCGGTGTAAGTCACCACGGGACTGTTGCCCCAGTTGGTCTTGGGCTGGTTGTAGTCGATCGAGACTCGGGCATTGTAGCCGCAAGGGCCGCTGCGTCCAACAGTGGCCTGGGTGACGTTGGGCCAGGCCTCGACAGGCTCACGAATGTTGCACTCCGGGCAAGAATCAAGTCCAGCCTGCAACAAGAACGAGTTAGTATCGACCCGCGAGAATTGAAAAATCGGAGTATCTGTAGGAGCAAGAACGAACCTCGGCGCCCAGACGAGTGCGACTCTTGGGGATGGTCAGGTATCCATGGCCAAGGACGGAGGAGGCCAAGCTCAGGAGGGTGAGGGCGGTGGTGGTCTTCATTTTGTGAGGATCGTCGAATGTCCGATATCTTCAGGAGGTTGCGAACACTGTGATGCGGCTGGAGATGAAGATTAGATGCGATTCATGGAACGAACGTCGATCTATTTGTACAGCAACAACTCCATTGAAAACGACACCCGCGATCATCAAAGTTGCCGCAACTCCCTAGTCGCGATTGAAGGTTCGCCTCAGATTGACCCGCAAACTTGATTGATGACCTGGTAGCCGCCGTCGAGTGAAGCCGAAGTACGACCATGCAACCGCTGAAACGGCCCTACTCGTGCAGCTGGTTTACCCCAGATCTAACTGTCTCCAGGAAACCCGGGGCAGCTACTGCACGGCTATATAACGTGCATGAATTGCCGGGTAAAGAGGCTTTCTTAGTGCCGGCCCCCCTTGCTCCAACGGGAAATCAACTCGGTACAGGTTTTGGAGTCGAGCCCCCTTTTTCTCTGGTCTAGAACACGTGCCGCGGCGCGATCCGTCAACCGAACAGCCGTAAATGTGTTAGAGCAGTCGAGATGGGGTTGCAATTTTGATGCCCAGGTCCGCGATGACGCCGAGGCCCACGGGCAGTTGATGACCAGACTTGACCTCCGCAATCTGCTATACAATGGTTGGTGGGAAACGCAGTCATTACGGCCGCAGGGCTGACTTCCGTGTGACAATGACTCGGTAATCACAGCCTTCACAGATGGATGTTGTCGTTCGAGTGACCCAGAGAATAGATCCACCTTTGCAACTGTCATTTAGAGCAGCTGTCCCTGATCATTGGCATCTTCACCGCATCCCTGCACGATGTAGGGTGACAAGAGCATCAAGACGAAAACCCGCACCAGATGAATCAACCAACTTCGAAGGACCCCAAGGTGATTAAATTGCCAGCCAGTAACGGCAATCACTATGACGTCCCTCAAATACTGAGGGATGACCATGTGTGACAGGAAGATGAGAGGCGCTCAACGCTTAACATGGTGGCGCTCGGCCTTGACAGTCCGGGGTACGGATTTGCGGGGAGCTGTGGGGATAGGTCCGAATGCCGGACGATCACGCCCTCGAACACCCCCCCTGACAATCTTGGCCAGTGATGCTCGTGATCTGACACTGGGCCACCCCCGGACGCCATGTTCGATGCCATCCCAGCTGGTGTTGTCGCCCGTTTGTGGGGTGTGCGGAGTGCAGCCTGGGCAATAGGGCCGACTGAGTGTCAGTAGTGACGGGTGGCAGGGTGCAGCGAGCTGCCAAATGTGTGCTGCGACGCCGTGGGCACGTGGCCGGCCGAGTTTTCACGTGCAGTCTTTGAGGGTATAATGCCTCAAGGGGCATGCCGGAGATTCTTTCGGGAGGCAGTCTCCTGCGTCATCGATTGGCCTTTTCTGAGGCATGTTCCACTGTATCGTAGTAGCAAGTTTCTGGCTCACAGAGGCTACCGGGCTGATACACAAATCAGGACGGATAGTGCATTGTGAGAAACGGACCAACTTCAAAAGAGAAGAAAAGCAACAGCGAGATCTGCGTCGGTTACTGAGGGATATACTAGGAATGGAATTGACGACTATAGGTAACAGGGCCTGGGTGTACCCTTACCAGCGGCACGTCGAATGTTGATCATGCGCTGTTGTGCCTCATAATCATGCTGGTCATCCGCTAGTCTCCGCCGTGGTCTCCGCCACGTTGCATTATGGCGATGCAGGTCTCTGCGACTATCAGTATCGTATAGTCAGCTCTGGGCGCCAACGCAGCTTTGGCCTAGACAAGGATAATTTCGCAATGACACTTGAGCCACCTATTGAAACACCGGTCACCAAGCCACTCTGGTTCCGGTGGGGCGGAACCCGGGCGGTACAGGTCGGTAACTCCCGCCGAGAAATGTAGGGTTCATTGGTTCTGCCTGCAGCGTTGTATTGTATACCCTCCATCAACTAGTTGTACCTGCTTGTCAACCTCATTGACGTATGCGTCTCTCGGTCAGTCTTCCCTGCTTCAGCTGTCAACCAGGCATCTTATTCCCCATGACCTTGCAGGCTTCACTCCGACCCCGCTGAACTATCTCCGTGGAACAGGCAAACCAACAATTACAAGCTGAAAGGTCACCACGGAAGGGTGATTAAACACAGTCATATTGCACGACCCCTCTGTCACTTTCGCAAGACCCTGAAAATAGGATACTCATCCCCTTTCCGCAGAGGTATCACGTTGTACTTGACATATGATGCCGAGTTCTCTGGCTCCAGCGTCACAAACGCAACAGCCGCGTTCTTCTGCCTCGTGTCGACCCAAAACCCCCCCGCCGGGATCTTCACCTCCTTCTCGAACGCCCGAGTGGTGACAGTCACGCCGAAAGAATCAGGACTACTCTGCTCGCGCGCCGATCGCACTTTGAGTACTTCGACAGTACCCTCAAAGTCGTGCTCGAGTGGCTCAACCTTGACCCCAGACGCGCGCAGCTTCTCCGCCACATCAGAGAATGCCGCCGAGAACACGTAAGCTTCGGGCCGCGCCCTTGTAAGGTTGGCCACTGGTGGTGTGTTGTTCTTGAAAGTGACTGGGATGTCGACTAAGCTACCGTTCTTCGAGTCGATGAACGTCCAATGAACGCTGGTCGACCGCGCCTTGTCTGTGACCACGATATCTTCGGTACTGTTTGCGAACTTTTGGCGGGCGTCCTCAATCGTCTTGTAAATCCCGCGGGCGTTTTCTGCGGCTTGCGTTACCAGAGTCTCGAGGACGGTGAGGCCAGTAGCTACACGACGCTGAAAATGTTGGTCCGCCAGAGAAATGCCGCGGATTTCAAGCAGGAACGTCACCGCTTGAAGAAGCCCGGCCGAGCTGTGGCCCGCTCGGCTGAGAGATCCGGGTTCGGACAAGTCCAAGTTGCCATCCCCGCCATTGAAGAAGGGGCTCCAACGCAGTTTACGCTTCTCCAATGCTGCACCGATGGAATTGGTGAAAAGCCCTTCTGTTAGGCCGCGGATGTCTTCGTGAATGTTGAGATTCTTGGAGCCCGAAAGAAGACAGTCCTGCGCCTTAGTCCACTCGCCTTTTGGACCTACTGGCGCGGTAGCGTTGAACTCGTGGGCGTCCAGGACGATATGAGGCGAAAAGTCTGACAGCAGCGTCTTGATGTCGCGAGTCTGCTGTCGCTGCAGATACGTATGATCCCTGTTTGGATCATAGTTGGATGCGAAAGTCCGCTGAAAGTATGTGATGCCATCTGGATTATACCGTGGTAGTGCCATGATGTCTACTTGTTGCAGCATTGACTCCGCCCACGTAGAATTATCGTCAAACTTTCCGAGGAGAGCCAGGATGGACTGATCACCCGCTGGCTCGTCTCCGTGCTGACCGCCTTGCAGCCAAATGCGAAGTTTTTCATTTACAAGGTCTTGACATGGCGTGTCTCCCTTACTAGTGGACAGGCAAAGATATGGCATGATCCGACCTTCTTCAGATGTGAATGACGGTGTGTGATACGAAGCCCAGTCATGCCTAGATGCTATGCTGCGAAGAAAGCGATCTTTACAAGTCGTCAGACGGTACCTGTCAATCTGTGTCAGGATGGCGACGTACCAATTGTGTCTAGGCTTGTTGGTCCGCTCTTGCCTTCTGGGAATCCCTTGAGGACAGTCTCTGGCCTTGCGAAAGCTGGTGACAATAGTTCAATGTCAACATCGGGAAAGTTCTTTGAAATTTCGTCGCTGTCACGATTGACGAAGTCCAAATTATCAGCGTATGCTCGTCGCGCAGTAGCTGCTTGCATGCAGCAGAAGCACATGAGCCATGCTCGCTGCAAGGTAGGCATCCTCATGTTGGATATAACTTGTGTCTGAGTATCTGTTAACCGTAGATGTACACAGTTCGTGGGCTGGAAAGATTATGAGCATGTAGTAGGGCCTGAGGCGAAGGGAGCCGATCCCCCCTTTATGTTGGACACAATTGTCGAAGGCTTCAACACGCCACTTGATTGCGAAACTGTACGTCTCGGAGACAAAACGCCGCGGCCATCATCCTGCATGAACTTGCTAAAAGCCGTGCCGTCTGGGTGAGTATCAATTCGTCCCGCCAGGCCCATTGATTCAGTTTAGCGTAGGCAAGGCCTCGTGCGTCTCCGGCGTGCTGGAAACTAAGCCCTTTGCGACTCAACTTCCTTTGTCATGGCGGTTAGCCGGCATGTGGTTTGACTGCTGATCCTCTCCCAACGGGCGATTCAGGTGGGGGAGTGAGACTCAACGATGCACTATACGAGACGGACCTGACTTTTGGAACCGTTCTTTTTTTACAGCATGCGCGGACTCGGACTTTTGACCTGTATTGAGGACAGTCAGATGGTCAGCTGATGAACAGGAGTTCAGAGCGCGAGTTGCACCTTCGCCGCTTCGCGAATATTCCCCAATCCAGGTTCGCCTTAATGTCGATCTTGCGACTAAATGAGAGAACCATTTGTGCCTGAGTCGCTATCGTGGCCTTGACTCTCTCATGCATTGGGACGTCATGTCTTACATTCAACAGCACCTGACAGTCTCACCGCCCACTTTGGGCACACATGCTGGCCGTCGTCATCGCGGACAAGTTCTCGCTGCATCAATGCCGACCTCCTCAACCTAACAGTTGCTCTATGACGAATTGAAACACTTTCCAGAAATCAATACGACAGCCCTGCAAACTTGCGGGTCTTTGCCCTGTAGGACTGCGATGATGTTGTTTTCTTGTCGGATATGCTCTTTGAGAATAGATGGGTGGCTACGGGTTATAGTATGAACAGATAGTAGTCTATTATTTGTTTGTCTTGCGATTCATCGACTAACTGATCCCAAGCTTCTATGCTAGTGTTAGCCGCCCTAGGTCCGTTAAATCATACCCTCAGTCCGTTCGGCATAGTTCCTTAGGGACTATCTTCCAGACCTTACTCTGAATAGGCGCTACTATGCTAACTTGTGAGTAAGCTTCGGCGACTCAGATATGGGAAGAAAATCGAAGTACTTGGCACGAGTTTGTGGTGTTAGAGGACATGGGGACATCCAAGAGCAGGTCGTCATGACCAACAGCCAATCAATCATTCGTCTGCTGGTGGCAATACCAGATAGGCTCGCCACCCACGTTCTATCAGCCATACATTTGATCGCCCGTTGTTTTTTTCGATAGTAAAGAAAGCAAAGCAAAAACGTTGTCCGACGTGTTCTCGGAAAGGTATTACCCGACAAACAGAATATAATCCGGGAGATCGAGACCAACGATATCAGAATCTGTTTTTGAAAGGATTGTCAGCCAGTCACCAGAGCTTGCAGTCAGTAGCACTAACAGGGCCATCACAAGTGATGAATCGTTTCCCATAGCCGAAGCTCACAATGTAGCATAAAGCCCCAGGAGTAATCCAGGCGTTACATTTGAATTTCGGCCTAATCATTGACTACTAGCTCACGAATATTCTCATCACTGTCAATTCAGTAGGATATTTGGTGTCCTGACAAAAGTGACTGTACGAAAAACTTCAAGTTCAATCTGTGTGCAACGGAGGTCAAGAAGACAAGCATGTGGACTTGGTTCGTCCTCGAGATATGATAATGAAGGTCCGAAAACATGTCTTTTATATCGCGGCGAGACTGCCAGTCTTTGTTTCACATGACATTAGGCATTTGTCAATGAGGATCACAGTATTACTGCCTTTTAGCTCGCCACGGATTTAGCTGTTGGCTCGCAGCATCTCAACCAAGGGTGAGCCAGGCCATGCGAATAGAGCGGGATACCTTTCATCCTCTGCCTCGCCTCTGGCTCATTGCCCTTAAAATGTCATGGGAAGCATCAAAAGCAGGCGCGAACACGTTGTCGATATTACTGAACAGGTTGACGAGTTCAGCAACTTGACAACAGTACGTCAGGATTCGGTGCCATATTCATTCGGCGGGAAATAAATCTGCGAGTCGGAGTGACATGACACGATAGTGGTCATCGATGGGCTCTTGAGGTTTACGAAAGCATGGAGCTCACCTCGTATTGATAAGAACATGCGCCATCACGTCCTGCGCCACGACCTCGGCTATCGTATCTGAAGTGTGGACCTGAGATCTCACAGCTCAGTTATGCTTGCAAGAAGACCATGACACGATAACAGCCCTGTGCAACAAAGGGCGGGGAAAGGGGGGTTGGGCGACAAGACTAGCATTCCACCTTCCAGTCGTGTTGACAGCCGCCCCAACCTCCCGAACGCGTACTCATTAACTATTTTGAGCGACGAGTCGGTCTGGGTACCTGTTTTTGTGGCGCTGTCAGATGTTATTGGCATCACGCCGTCCGCGTTTCTCGTCAAGATCCATACGCTGGCCAACATGCGTGCATCGCATCACCGCACGGGTCTTTCGGGTGGTCGCACGATAGTGAGTTCGCACTATGACGGAACATTGAACAAACGCGGACGTAGTCAGCGAGGTTGGTATGGCCATTTTACTAATGTTGACCCGGCTTACCCCGGCGATGTCCGATCGAATATGCTCTCCAATCACGCAGTCTTCCATTTGAATAAGTATGGAGCTTACGATGGGCCGTCTGAAGTTTGTTTATTCGAATTTGTCCGCTTGTTTACTCCATCCGGCTCCGAGCAGCAAGCCAATGGGCCATCCAGCCGAGGAATTATAGCGGTCGAATGAGACATTGCTCAGATCGGCCCTATGGCGGCGCTCGCCGCGCCAGAATTGGTGCTGAGCACAGCAAGTGCCTACGAGCCGTGAGATCCGACAAATGGAGAAGTTGTTTGTCGTATCACCTCGTGCCAATGCCATTCCCCGACCCCCTTGGGTGGAGGCACGACTCGCACGAGACACTGCACGCCGTGCGGAGTCGGACTATCTTCAGCAATGCAATCGATCAACAATCCCCATCCTCCCCGCATCACTCGCATCCTGGAGGTTGGGAAACCTGATGGACAATAGCGCTAGTCGCTCAGTCGCGCATGCAGTGCACTGGCGATCACCACTTCCCTAATTGGAGGGCTGGCTAGCTCCTCTGAGACCTGACAGACAGGCAGCATGATTACTTTAAGACATGATGCGCAGGGGGGCTCATGATGGGAATGTGAACTGTCACAGGACAATCCAGGACAATCAAGGGTCATCAAAATAATCATTGATAAAGGCATCGTCTACCTTGGCTCGTTTGGCACATCCAGATCACGCCAAGTCACTCGTTCCACACATTCGTTCTTTCCTTCGTTCGACATTCACTCTTTTGAAATCTCCAGACGGCATTATGGTTGTCTCCACGGCTCACGTTTTCACTGCACTCCTCGCAGCTAGTTCTGCCCTGGCCCTCCCAGCGGCTGAAAAGCGCCAGAGCCAGTGCACCCAGCCGACGCAGCGACGCGCTTGGTGAGCGATGCAATGTGCGGACCAGTTGGCAGTCTCAAAAGCTAATGTTCTCCAGGCACACGCTCGCCGATGAGGAGAAAAAGGCCTACATCGACGCAGAGTTGTGTCTGATGGGCAAGGAGGCTACCCTTGGTCTCCGTGGTGCCGTCACCAAGTTTGACGAGCTCCAGAGCGTTCACGTTGCCCAGGCCGAGCTCACTCACAGCGTTGTAAGTTGTAGTACTCCAGCCGCAGCCTGACAGTATCTTACATCTCCAGGGTGCTTTCCTGCCATTCCACCGCCTGCTCATGCGGGCTCATGAGTACCTCCTTGAGACGGAGTGTGGTTACACTGGTGGTCAGCCGTGAGTCTTCACATTTGCCTTCAGTCTCAGACGTGCGCTAACAGATATGCTAGATACTGGCAGGAGCAGCTAGACGCTGGCAACTTCAAGAACTCCGTTCTTCTCGACCCCCAGACCGGCTTCGGTGGCGATGGTGACGATCGTGACTGCGTCACGGACGGGCCATTCGCCAACTACGTCAACCGCGTTGGCCCCGGCTACACCGTCCAGGATAGCTGCATCGTCCGCCGCATCGATGACTCTCAGTCGGCCATGTCCGCCCAGGAAAATGTCGACGTCTGCCTGTCGCAGCCTTCCTGGGCGACTGCCTGGCCGTGCATCGAAAACGAGCCGCACCGCGGCGGTCACAACGGTGTGGGTGGACAGATGTCGAACCCCATCTCTAGCCCAGGCGACCCTCTCTTCTATCTTCATCACACGTGGCTCGACAAGGTTTGGTGGGATTGGCAGAAGCAGGACCTTCCCAACCGCCTCTCCGATATGGGCGGACGCAACCTCCAGGGCGGTAATGAGGATGGCCCTGGTCCTTGTAACGGAGAGCGCCTGTTTGGACCCCTTCCCGATGATCTCCCGTACGTCATTCCCCTTTCTCACTCGTCCACCGCGTCGCTAATGAAAAGAAATAGTGCACCTCGCATTGAGGGCGATTCGGGATGTGGCACAACGCTCCAGCATAATCTCGTGATGTATGGCATCGTCGCGGACCGCTCCGTCGGGGACATGATGGACATTCAGGGCGAGCACCTTTGCTACGAATACGTGGATCCTCAGTGATAACAGCGGCTGATCTGTTGCTGATCTGTATCTTGTGTCGTCACCCTTTCCACGTATTCTACAGCCAAAACAATGGCCCAATTGGGCCATTAGGGTTAGAGGAAATTCAAACTTGGCTCCCTTGCGTCCCCACCACGCCCCTGTCACCCTCTGTTTCACAGTGCACCCTAACAATGCTGACCCAGGAATTCCGTCATTATTTCTCCAGTACACTGCATTTTTACGTTGTCCATTCAGCGGATGTGTCTGCGAGCGCGGCTGCCTCGATCAGAAAGGTTGATCGAACGTGCATTCTGTAGAGTGCATGGGAATCTGTTTTGGACGATAATGATCAGGCCTCCAGCACTTCTCTTCTCAAACGCCCAGGGAGTCGATGGCATCGTGTCTAAACAAACCCCTTTGAGACATCAGCCCTGGATCAGACACAGGGCTGCGACACCGACAGGTCAGCTGCATGCGCGTGCCAGAGCTTCGACAGGTTTAACATTCCTACTACCGGCGTCCGTGCCGAAGCATGCACTTCCCATCGCCAGCTCAAGGGAGATGATTGTCCCTAAATGCAGCTGGGACTGCACATGGTCAACCTTTCTGAGCCGACCAACGCCCAATCACCTCGTGTGCACTCGAATCTCACGGCATGGTACCCGGGTACTCACCTCGATCAAGTCCTGTTGACGGGCTGAACTCAACAGTTTACATGCACCATATGTCCCGTTGGCCCGATCGAGAGTTGCACCGTCCCGGCCTACGAGCGTCAGTCTACTTGCGTCGAGCTTAATGTTACTTCTCCCGTAATGACAGTCACGCAAGTTCTTCTCCAGTACCAGACATGCAACGGCTTGAGAAGTTCATGCAACACTCGCCAAATTATTTTGACAGTACACGATCGCAAATGGGCGGAAACGTGACACTTTCTCGCACAAATTTCATGACATCTAGTACAACCCTTCGTCGCACTCAGTTTGTCGCCGATCATAGAAGGTAGACCGTGGTCCATAATCCGAAGCTCCTTGGATACAGGTTCTCGTCGTCAGGTGGCTCGGGTGCCGCAAAAATGGAAATCAAACAGAAAATCTCATTTTTCTTTTTAAAAACTGAATCTTGCGAAAATCGGACCCTAAACGCCAGCCCCCTGCGTCGATTTTCAGGCTCTGTGTCTATACACGGCTCTGCATTGCAACACACGACAGTTGACAACGTCTATAGCCCAGTCGTCTTCAAGAGATTTGGTCCTTTTGGGTTCTTGTCATAGCTCAACCAAGCTGATGCCCAAGTCTTCCACCCGGAGCAATTTAAACACCTTTCTGAGCACGACTGACGAAGGTTTCTTGATGTTAATCCAAAATTTTCTTCGATGGCGTGTAACTTCGACATCTGACATCTCCGCAATTCACGCAGCCCCCTACCTACAAAGGTACTCTACCTTTTCGTCTATTCCTAAACCAATCCTAATATATAAAGAGGCGGGGATCTTTTTTTTTTTGGCATGCCGCAGGGTTGACCTTCTCCTCCGTACACCAACAAATCTCAAGCCAATCAATATCTTGCACCATTCTCTGACAACATTCCTTAACGATGAAATTCTCTTCCCCCGCACTTGTGGTTCTGGCGCTTCTTCGCTATTCCTCTGGGTTTGTCATGAATGTATACGAACTTGACGATTGCACAGGAAAAATGCAAGAAGTCAATATCTGGGACAACACATGTGCATCATGGACAATTCCCTTCAACTCTGTCATGCTTATCAAGGACGGAACATGGAAGCAAAAAGCTCGTTTCTGTCCTGGCAAGATGTGCCTGTGGGGATGCCAGAAAGCCTGGGCTGTAAGTCCCCGTCTGATCTTCCGACTCCAACTCCCCACCCAATTTGCCAAATTTACTCATCGCTAATCGACACTGTACATAGGATGTATGTTGTTGCTCTTGGTCCTTACGTGCCTCCGCAAAACTATTGGGTTGACAGTCTGGAAATACTGACTGATGTAGGGCGGTGATGATAAATTCCGAAAATGGAAGTGCATGAACTTGGACCACCAGGCTAGTTCTGTGGCATCACTTCGCCTCTTCTGATCTCTTCTCGTTAGTGATCAAGTCCTGTTGGTCTTCTTATTGAAAATTTCCTCGTGTGTGTGGTCAGCTAACTTGTTAGGCCATGAGTCTTCGAGAAACAAATCAGTTCAATCTGCAGTGGCGAGCCATCAAACGACAGCAAGCTTGAACGGAGTCGAGTTCATATGGGTTAACTGGTAGAATAGAACCTGACAGTAAATTCGTTTTTTTTTTGCGACGTATTTATTGAATTTGAGTTCCATGTGTCTCGACGAATCTTCAAAGTCTTGATCAGTAGGAATGCCTAGAGAAATCCAATCTGATAGAATCATCCACTCCGTGATACCTGCCTGTAATGTTGTGCGAATGAAACACATTTCCGCAGTGCGAAAGATTTGCAGACATCTACACGAATGAGCTTGATAATCTTTCTGATCTGTGGTCGGTAAGCCTTACGAGTTTTACGTTGGTTTTGAACTCCGACCCGGGGTCAGTGTTTGGATTCATTACATGACGGAGCAATGAGTAGCTATCCGGTCGTTCTCTTCTAAGAACGCAAACTCATCCCCCACCACAGCGATGTGTTTACGCGTACGACCTAGCGCTTGCTTCTTGGCAAAAGTCTCACCTGCTTTGTGCCAATCATCCTGCTTGCCCGTGGTGCCAGCCCTGTGGTCGGGTTGCATATTCTTCGGAGGTCCCCCACGCTCTGTATCGGGTGGACTGCAGGTTGTCCGGTGTCACGACAGATCAGCTTGTACCTTTGCCTTCATACCCCGCTTCGGACTTAAGTCTTAAGATACTTAAACTGCAAAGTAAGAGACGAAAGTACAGTCCTGTGCTGTCCCCCGCTGTCTTGTGTTCTTTTCCGACCAAGATGCACTTCGCTGACCACCCTCCGAGGTTCGACCTCCGCAAGGACATTTACCAAAAGCTACCCAAAACCGACGACATTATCGATTGGAAAACAATCAATCCCCTCGAGACAGCACTTCCTGTCATTGAAAGTTTGTCCTCATTTGTCCGTGGTGTCGATATCAAGCAACTAGATATCGACGACCTATTTTGGGCGCGGCAATGTTACTGGCGAGACACTCTGGCGCTTACAGCGCACTTGAGAACCTTCTCTGGGCCGAAAGAAATCACAGCGACACTCTCTTACCTATCCCGAGCTCGTGGGATTGGGTCTTTGGTTGTGCTGCCTGAATCCGCCCAGGTTGTGTCAACAGTAGCGAATCTGGTAAGAGCTAAACTCCCCATCTTCAGAACGTGCTGAGCTGAGTTCACCAAAAGACATGGCTCGACTGCAACTTTACTTTCAAGACGAAATATCCGACAGCCAGCTGCCTTGGGAAGCTCATGATGCTCCCTAAGATATTATCCGATGGCCAGCTTCATTGGAAGATCTGGACAATGGCTACACTGCTCATCGCCTTCGACGACTTTCCCGAAGACGTGAGGGTATTGAAAGAGCCCTCATCGGCCATTGGCCCAAACACAGTTCTGTCTACCGACGTCGTCATCGTTGGCGGAGGCAATGCGTATGGCTACTGTCCCGTCCCGGTGCGGCCAGATAGCTCGAAGGGCTGACGCGCAACTAGGGGATTGATCCAGGCTGCTCGTCTGAAAGCACTCAATGTGGACTTTGTCGTCATCGAGAAGAATCCGCAAACTGGCGACAACTGGGCGAAACGATACGACTGCATGCGATTTCACATCGGCAAGAATTACTGCCAGATGCCATATCTCCGTGAGTACCGTCTTGCAGGGTACAGAGTGTGGATGCTGACATGAGTGAAAGCCTATCCGGAGGAGGCAGAGTACGAGCTACCTCGAGACGAGCTTCAGCGGCATATTCAGCGCTTCGCGCGAGAGTTTGATCTAGGACCGCGAGTGCTCAACAGCTCCACGGTCAAAGCAACAAGCTTTGACGAGAAGGCCCAAACTTGGAAGCTCAACTTGATTGTCGAGGGGGTTGAGAAGTCAATCACCTGCAGAGCACTGATCATTGCCACCGGGTCAGGGTTCAGCACGCCATACATTCCCGATGTTGCCGATCGAGGAGCGTTTAAGGGGCCGAGTCTGCACTCCTCATCCTTTCGGAGCGGCAAGGAGCTCGTACGACACGGAGCCAAGGTAGGATAAGATCCGCCACTGCCTGGGACGCCAGCTGACACTGCAAGTCTGTCATCGTCATTGGGTCTGCCAACTCGGCCTTTGACGTGTTGGAGGATTGCCACAACGCGGGCTTGACAGTCCAGATGATCCAGCGATCTCCAACATACGTTATTCCAATGAGATACTACGCTCATCCTCAGGGTTTGGGGATTTTCGACGTGGTTTCAACTGAGGTCGCGGATGCCATGATTAACATGGGCCCAGTTGCCATCGTTGGTCAGCTGCCCGGGCTGGTCCACGCTGCGATGGCGGCCGAAGAGCCGTGCGTGACCCCAGAATCTGCCTTGCGCATGCCTCGAAGTCACTAATGCGAATCACAGCGATCGATATAGCAAGCTGAATGACGCCGGGTTCAGAGCGGTAGATTCCAAGAAGGAGGACCTCATCGACCATCTACACAGCCGCGCAGGTGGCTTCGTTGTCGACATGGGCACAGGTGGCGTTGATCTCATCGTACGCGGGACGGCCAAGGTTCGATCTGGAGTCACGCCTGTATCCTATACATCAACCGGATTGAGGCTCAGCGATGGGACACTGATGGAGGGTGACTCGCTAGTTTGGTGCACGGGATTCGAGACTGATACGCGCAAAGAGCTTGTGGCGGTTCTGGGCGAAGGAGCTGACGTAGTGGCAAGCAAGATGGATGCCATGCTAGGTGTTGATGGTGAAGGCGAGCTGAGAGGGTTGTGGAAACGACACGGTGGGGTTGATGGACTTTGGGTTCTGTCAGGGGGCGCTGGTCAACACCGTTGGTACTCAAATGTGGTTGGCTTGCAGGTGAAGGGTTGGCTCGAGGGCATTTTGCCTGATGCATATCGCAACACGTTTGAGAGATCGCATCAGGCAAACAAGCCGAGCATGTGAATATCGTTATGTTTCTGGTTTGGGAGGCTGACCTGGCGTAATGAGGGGGTTCGATGGCGTTGATAAGGGAAGCATCAAGAAGAGCGAGCGATAAGCGTCTTAGTTCAGGGCGATGCAGAACCCACGTCTTGGCGGCCATCCAGGTTCTCGTGACGGCGACCATGGGCCTTGACGTTGCCCTCGCAAAACTTGTGAAAAACACAATTTGTCTCACGCGCCTCTTTCTCCCTGATTTTATCTGTGTGCTTGCCACAGCTCCTTCCAATTGACTTTATGAGGCTTGTCCAAGCGCCGCTTTGACATCACAAACTGTACTGACTCGGACACTACCTTTGACCCTCCCCCCCAGCCTCATCATGAGACTCAGTGCCACCATCCCCTTAGCTGTTCTGGCATGCGCCAAAGCAACCTTGGCAGCGGAAGATGTTGCAAAGGGCGACACTGCCATTGACATCCACGAAGACCTGGCAGCAGTAAGTATTGCAGGTGTCCCCTGGAGAGCACAATACTGACCCCAGCAGGTCCCCATCGATGGCCTTTTCGAAGTCCACGAGGTCATTGTCACCCTCACCGAGGAGATCAAACCTTCACCCCGATATGAGGCCGAACACAAAGCTCTTCTGAAGCGCATGTCCAAGTCGCACGGAAAATGGGACACAACACATCCTCGTGCCCGTCTCCTCGACGCCCTGCACGGCTACGTCCGATACCGCGAGCGCCAAACGGCCGAGCTGGACAAATGGCGCCGCATGTACAAGAACACCTCCTCGTCGCAAAAGAAGGTCCTCGAGCATGCGGTTGGCTACACGAAGAAGATGGACACCGTCGCTTCGTTGATTGAGCAGAATCACGTGTTGTGTCAGCAGATTGTCGATGGGGCTTTGGAGTTCTATGGGGTCGAGAGGGACGAGATGACGAGATACATCGAAGCCAAGGAGAAGGAGAACAAGGCGGCTGAGAGGGTGAGCGTGAGCCAGGCATTGAAGCACTACGTCAGAGACTGGACGGTGAGCGGCCTGCGCGAGAGGGATGCTGCGTTCCCCTGCATCATTCAGTCGTTGGAGCAGTACTTCCCTGATCGCTCGCAGGGCGACGTCAAGGTGTTGCTTCCCGGTGCTGGTGTTGGTCGTCTGGGTCATGAAGTCGCCGCACTTGGTGGTGAGTCGCCATCCTTCCTCCTCCTCCTCTATTTCCGGATGCTTTTCTGACAGAACGATGCATAGGCTTTGAGGTCACGACCAACGAGTGGTCCATGTACATGAACCTCGCGTACCGTTTCCTCGAAAAGCATCCTCGTGTGGGCTCAAACAATGTCCATCCTTTCATTGACGGCTGGTCGCATCACGCTTCCACCGCCGACATGTTCCGCGGCGTCGCCTTCCCGGATAGGCCTGTCAACACCTCCGCCGTAGTCCTGGTCGAAGGTGACTTCACATCTGCGTTCAAGGGGCAGAATGGCCATTTCGATGCACTCGTCACCCATTTCTTCATCGACACGGCGCGGAACCTGATGTCTTACTTTGAGACGATCCATGGGCTGCTCAGGAAAGGTGGCATTTGGGTCAACCTTGGGCCGCTCCTGTACGGCACAGGACCGTATGTGCAGCTGAGCCTTGACGAAATCATCGCTGTCGTCAATGCCATGGGATTCGAGTTTGTCGACGCGCCGGAATCATGCGGCGAGTTGACATTCGCTGATGAGAAGGTGCGTGGTCGAGAAGCCGTGTACGGTTTTAATGAGAGGGCGTTGGTGAAGAACGCATACAACGCGCAGTCATGGGTGATGCGGAAGAAGTAAGTATTGGGCTTAGATCAAAACAGAACGAAAACAAAAATGAATAAATACATGACAGCAAACGGGGGGCGACCTCCTGGAATGCGCCAGCATCATGACTCGTGATAACCTCGTATGCATATTGGACTTGTCATTCAGCTGAGTAAGCAGCCGAATCCGCATGCGGAAGCTCCATGACACGGAATCAGCTGAATCTGCAGTGTCCTCCTCATTGCGAGCCGAGGTCGAAAAGTCTCCAACTCAGCCATCCCATCATCATTCATCATTATCATCCAGATCAGTCGCCCAACGCTGAAGCAACGCCACGCTTCGAATCGCCATTCCGCTCCATCGACAGAATCCGCGGCCTATTTACTCTCCGCAAACATGGGCATTCTCTCCACTCTCTCCACCGGCGCCATGGCCGGCCTCCATGGCTACATCCTCGTCCTCGAGATGTTCCTCTGGACCTCTCCTCGCGGCCGCAAGGCCTTCAATCTGACGGCCGAATTTGCCGAAAAGACAAAGGCCCTCGCCGCTAACCAGGGTCTCTACAACGGCTTTCTCGCCGCCGGCCTCGTATGGGGTCTCGTCCACCCCGATGCCGGCTTCGCCAAGCAGCTTCGTCTCTTCTTCCTGAGCTGCATCGCCGTCGCTGGCTCGTACGGTGCCGCCACGGCCAACCGCAAGATTCTGTTCATCCAGGCCATTCCTGCTGCGCTATCGCTTGCTGCTGTCAGCCTCGATCTCTAAGTTGGACGCGGGAGAGATATGTTCGTTTTTGGGAACGTGGGTGCTGTTGGCGGTGGCACCGGGATGGTGGCGTATCAACAGGAGCGGTGTATGGATGTCAGCAATGATCTTAAGTGCTTACATGTTGAGCTGAAGGGGCTAAAGTGTCATACCGTCAAAATGCCATACCGTCGACATGAGCTTGGGGCGTGGTTGAGAACTCTCTGGTCTTACAGGGTTACAGCAAGGGTCTGGATTAGTGCTTTGTTAGCAAGTCGAGCAGTTCGTATGCCAGTATCTTGATTGAACATCGGCGATAATGCGAGCTGGATGCGTCACAGTTTATGAAGCATTGACTGAGCGAGGATGCTGGAATGAGTCTGGTCATCGTCGAAGTGTCCAGTACTAGTGGATCTTGCGGTAAAGCTGGATGTGCTGTTGAGATCATTGGATGTTATGAAATCAAACTTGGAGGACCCCGCGCCCGCGCCAGACCTTCTCAATTTCCAAACAGCTAATATGTAGAGGTGGGCTTCTTGGGAATCTGATGTTCATCCACCTCATACGCGATCCGATTTCTCACCATACTCTACGGTGCAATAGCGACCGTTGTGTGCTGAAGAAACCGCACTAACGAGGAGGCTACTGCTGCGTCATCTCAATGTAAATGATACACTGTAGAGATACCCTCGGTTGTGGTAGCTCATGAGATCTCTAAAGACTTGTCAAAGGCAAACCTAGAGTCAGAGAGGTCATTAAACGCTCCTTACATTCTGTCGATTCACAACCTCTGACCCGCGTATGCGTATGAGATAAAAAGTACCACCTTCCTAACGATGTTGAATAATGTAACATCTCTAAATTTGATAGCTGGTTCGCTGAGAGACCGCATGAAAGCTGCCGCAACAGATTCTCATTTATCGATGTCCGTCCCTAAAGACAAAATGATACGGCGGCAGCGGTGGGACAGGAGACACCACAGAGGACTATAAGGGGTCGATTGATAGGCAATAGGATGATGGGATATGAAAGGGAGGCCACATGACAAAAAGAAAGAGTATTGATTGGGGTATTGTGTGCCGAAAGACCAACATCTGACTTGCATTGCTTGCTGCGAGTAGTCTCCTTCTTTGCACCAGTCTTCGATACCCGATCAAGGTTCCGTGTTTAAATAAGGAAACTTTCATCCGAAAGCATTCATGAAATTCGAAAAGTTTTAAGGCGACCGTTGCCAACAAAGATTTTGCATCTTGAAGCTTCCAACTATCAAGGCTCAGATTGCCGTCGAAACCCAAAATTGGGTCCTAAAACCAACCGCACGTCAGCAACCCGCTTGCCTTTGTTTCCCCCCTTTGCTATGGCCTGTCCCTGAAACATGGTCTAGGCAAGGGGGCTGCAATGCAACTTCGTCCACACCTTCCGGAGGCCGACCTTCCCGTCAGCCGAAGACTCGGGACTCTCGGGGAGGCAATCGGTGTCCGCCCCCCTGTCATTAGTGCCTGTTGGGGCCTGCTTCCAGCCAACCATACCTGAGATTCTGTAGATTGCCCCTCCTCAGTTTGCCAGCCACCGCTGGGAAAGGATACCAAAGGAGTATCTTGATGCATCTCGCCAGGGATCTGTGATATGGCAAGCTACAAATGTAGTGAAAGGACCTTTCTATTGTGTCCGACAGTGGTATTTTTCCTCAGGCTAGGTCTATCATGAGTTAGACACGTGATCGCCGAGCGCGAAACCACACATACTTAAATACTTCAGCCAGTCTTACTGGCGTGGCACCTTTGGTGGCTTGCTCATCGTCATCGTTGACTGCATTGCTGGCCAAACTCGTCGATCAGTCGACTACTGTTCAATAGCTGACTGCTCAAGGATTGCCGTTCTTCTCCTTAGATTCCTGGAGACCCCTCGGGGCTGAGCAAGCGGCAAATCCAATTGCAGCCATGGCCCAGCCAAGGGCGCAAGGCGAGGAGCTGGATGGTGACATCACGTTCATCAGCACACCCGCCGCTGTACCCTCGAAATTCACCGCCAAGGTCGATTGCGGCGTAGATACAACCAATGTAAGCACATCGAGTGTCGAGGCTCAAACTTGAGAGTCAATCGATGCCAATTAATGTCAATTGATCGCTATTGAACCAAGGTACACGCTCGAGCTGACTCCCACCAAAGTTCCGCGCCATACACAACCCTCCGCTGCCTGCCGAAGGTCCCGGCAATGAGTCGTTTTCCAACTACCTTCTTGGGGGCTTGTTACTGGGAATCCCGATCTTCATAGCGCGATCTATCGGCGGCGGCTTCAAGACGACAATCTTCTTCGTTATACTTCTTTCCGTTCCGATCCTGGCCGCCTTCTGGAGCGTCACGTCCGCGTAATCTCCGCGCATTAACGAGAAAGCCAAGCTGCCTGGACGTCCAATCGAGGAATACGTCACCTTCAAGAAAGAGGAAGATCGCCGGCAATGGAGTGGACGGAACAAGATACCAATGCGAACGTTCTACGACAAATACTTTGACGGCGACGTTGACTTCAATGGCGACGCCCTCGATATAATGGAGTACCGGCACGACTGGGCAACTTTCAATTTTACGTGGCCCGTGTTCCAGTACGTCTTTCTCACCTTCGCTGTGGACGTGCTGTTCCACTCGCGCAAACAAGATGAAGAACAGATTCGTCCAAACTATGATCGAGGCAACGACCACTACTCATGGTTTCTCGGACCCCGCATGGTCTACACCAGTGGCATCATCTCCGACCTTACGCGCGAGGAAACGCTGGAGGAGATGCAGGATAACAAAATGGCCATCGTCTGCGAGAAGCTCGGTCTGAAGGAGGGCGAGTCGCTTCTCGACATTGGCTGCGGCTGGGGCACCCTCGCCAAGTTCGCCAGCGTCAACTACGGCGCCCACGTCACTGGCGCCACGCTTGCCCGGAACCAGGCCGCCTGGGGCAACGACGCTCTCCGCCGCGCCGGCATCCCCGAGAGTCAGAGCAATCTCTTGTGCATGGACTACAGAGATATCCCGGCGCGCAAGTTTGACAAGATCTCCCAGCTCGAGATGGGCGAGCATGTGGGGATCCGCAGGCTCAGGACGTTTTTCCGACAGTGCTACGACATGCTTGAGGATGACGGGGCCATGTATGTCCAGCTCTCTGGTCTGCGTAAGGCTTGGCAGTATGAGGACTTTATCTGGGGTCTCTTCCTGAACCAGTACATCTTTCCTGGAGCCGATGCCTCTACCCCGCTGGCAAATTACGTCGGCTGCCTCGAGAGTGCTGGGTGGGAAATTAAAAGGTATGATTTTCTGGATTCTCTGTGGGATGTACGCAGATGAATAGAATACTGACTTCCTATTGTAGCGTCGACACTGTTGGTGTGCACTATTCAGGCACTCTCTGGCGTTGGTACCGCAACTGGCTGGGGAACAGAGAGACAATCAACGCCAAGTACGGTCAGCGCTGGTTCCGAGTCTGGGAGCTCTTCCTGGCATGGTCTACCATTGCCTCGCGCCAAGGTAGTGCTACCTGTTTTCAGCTGGTAGTCGTAAAGAACCTGAATGCCACTCATCGATTGCACGGGCTCAAGACTCAGTATGGCCTTTCGGGTGCCCTGGAGGCGAGTCGTGCCGCTGGTAAGGCGATCTTTCCAATGTGATGATTGATTCCTGGATCCTCCTCTAATCAAATAGTTCAAATTAGATAGGCCTCATGAATCAAATCACGACCTCATACTGATCCGAAGAACACGATAGAACACGATTTTTATAAGCGAACAACTATATCGAACTGGTGATCCTACCGTTCAAGATATCTAAGTGAATTTTTCAAGTCAAGCCCGTTGTTCGCCCTCTAGCGTGCCGGTATGCTTTGCCTGCACCTCACGAGAAGGGCGCTGTGCTAGCTGCAGTGTTCTCTGACCACTTAACCAAAACCCCAAGAAGATCAGACTTAAAGATCATCCAAAATGAGGGCAGAAGACAAAACGATAACCCCGCACGGGACTCGAACCCGCAACCTTCAGCTTGCCTGGATAGGAGGCTGACGCGCTACCATTGCGCCAACGGGGTTGTTGGGCTTGGTGCATATTTATGCTGCTACCGGATGTGAAGGAAATTCGTGTAATGCTAATTATAATGCTCAACCTTTTTTGCTGGCCGAAGAGATATTACACGCAGCAACCGGGGCTCGAGGAGTGACAGGGACAGCAGCTGAGAATTCTCAGCGTGCCGGACGAGTACCAGTCTGTGAAAATATGTCATTACGTTCCAACTGACCTGGAGTTAGGAAAACATGTGCTGCTATACACTCTTGCCGTTCTGTTCTTGCCATGAGTCATGGCCTGTGCAACATGGGGTCACTGTCAGAGAAGGCAGATGATATGAATGAGAGTGGACAAACCTAGACGGAGATTGTCCATGCAACAAAGGTCCGTCAAACGCCAATACCAACATGGTACATACAGTTGTCTAGAATAGGAATAGAGGAAACCCGTTCGGCGTGGAAACTACCAGCTGGTCACCATCCACATTACCTCGGCCGCCCCCCTCTTGACCCCATATTCAAGCGTTGAAGCGCGTCTTCGGCACGAGCCAGTGCGGCTCGTGGCGCCAAGGTGGCCCTCGCTCAAACTGCCTAGATTTACCCGCCCCCCCATGAAAGATCAACTTTCTCTGCCAGAGCCGGCGATGAATTGATTGACAGCTCAGAGGGTTCCCGGCGCCATGGCTAGGCACACGTGGTTATATCTGTTCGGCTGACTGATGTGGAAGTTGTCCTGGTGATCAACCTGACTTGGCGACGGCGGCGCGAACCAGGTCGGAACGCGCATCGCTTAGCCATACTACGAGATGGCTGGAAGGCCGTGAAACATGCGACAAGCTGTCCAGCTGCATCCCGACAGGAGCGCATATCGAACGCTGCAGTCCAATAGCGTCTAGGTGACGCCTCATTGCCCAAGGTCGTCAACCAACAAGTCGAATGAAGTCATGCGGCTTCAATTTCCCCGTCCATCCACCCGCATCCTCCAAGTCCCGGGCAAGCCACACGACAGCTCAAGCCAATGATGCTTGGCCAGGCTGTTGGCATGTCAAAGCTTCGACGCGGTCGTCCTCGCCGCTGAGTGGTGCGCATCTGGAGCCCCAGAAGCTTGACGCAAACCGCCTCGAGTGTCGGCTCTCATCCTTGTCCAATTGCCGTTACTTTCTCCGGATGCGCTATCTACATCTGGGGTCCCCCGCACAGAAAAAGGACTCTTATTGGACAATGTCATCATGTTCCGGGGCCAACTACCCCGGGCGTAGTGCGACACAGCAAAAGACGGCCGAGTCCTCGTCAGGCGATTCTCGGGACTCGGCTCTCTGGGGAACGAGGGGAGACGTGCCGAATATATAGCCCAAGAGGACGCGCTTCGGTTTGAATAGGTTTGCCCAGAGATGCTATTGCCTTGTCTCGCGCGCGCATCGCACCAACCATCATCGTCGTCACCATGGCTCTCCCTCCGAAATGGTACCAATTTCTCGTCAGCGTCTTCGCGTCGCTCGGCTCCCTGACGTTTGGTTATGATCTTGGTGTCATCGCCCAGGTCATTGGATCGCCATCCTTCAAGTCCAAGTTTGGCGAAGATCCGGCCGAAATGTAAGTCAACAGAATCGGTTTCGCCCAGACGAACTCTCTCCGTGCCGTTCTAATACAATCACAGCGGCGCCGTTGTTAGTGTTTTCACGGGTGGAGCGTTCTGCGGTGCTGGTATTGCCGGTTGGGCTGGCGATCGCTTTGGCCGACGTCTCACGATCCTGATCGGTGCTGCCTTCTTCCTCCTCGGCGGAACCCTCCAGACCATCGGCAAGAACATTGCCTTTCTCATGGCCGGTCGTACGCTTGCTGGTGTTGGTGTCGGAGTTTTGTGCATGATCATTCCAGTTTACCAGGTGAGCCCGGCGTGCCATATTCGAACCAACATAGCTTCCGAATTATGCTGACTTGACCTTGTAGGGTGAACTTTGCCACCCCGACATTCGTGGCCGTGTCACGGCTCTCCAACAATTTATGTTGGGCATTGGTGCACTTGCGGCAGCTTGGATCTCATACGGTACGTGCTAATACCTTGGATCGCTGTGACTGACGGCTGTGGCTACCTTTCGCGAGTTCAGCTGCACAGCTGAGGTCTTGTTGTCCCCTTGCCGACGCGCCGAGTCGAGCACACTATCAGCAAGGCTAACAGTGTTTTCCCAGGCTCCTATATCGGATTTGCGGCCGACGACAACAACCAGTGGCGCGTCAGTCTTGGTATTCAGAATGTCCCTGCTGGCATCCTGGCCCTGCTGATCCTGCTGTTCCCTGAGTCGCCTCGCTGGCTGATTCAAAATGGCCGCACGGAGGAGGGCCTTCAGACTCTGGCCAAGCTTCACGCGCACGGTGATGTCAACGACGCTTGGGTTGTTGCCGAATTTTCTCAGATCGAGGATACTATCACTATCGAAAGGGAGGGTTCAGCCAAGTCGTACGCCGAGCTGTTCACTGACCGCTCGTGCTTCCGTCGCCTTTTTCTCGCTTGCGCCCTGCAAGCCAGTGTCCAGATGACAGGTGTCTCGGCCATTCAGTACTACTCCCTCGCTATTTACGAGAAGATTGGTATTGCGGGCGACGATGCCCTCAAGTACCAGGCGATCTCCTCCTGCATTGTAAGTGCTCCGCTGGCTGCCTTGTGTGGCGTGCCGTTATGAAAGAAATACTAATTGAGACCCTGTCAGGCCTTGTTCGCTCAGTTCCTCACGATCCTGTTCATCGATAAGACGGGCCGGCGCTTCCCGCTCATTGGTGGCAACCTGCTGAACGCCGTCTGCTTCATCATCGCCACGATTCTGCTGGCCAAGTACCCTCCCCTGGATGGTGCCTCGAGCAACATTGGTGCCTCATGGGGCTTCATTGCTATGACCTGGCTGTACAACTTCTCGTTCAGCGCCACGTGCGGTCCTCTGTCATGGATTATTCCCGCCGAGATCTTCGACACCAAGACACGTTCCAAAGGCGTTTCGATCGCCACCATGACCAGCTTCGCCTTCAACACCATGATCGGCCAGACCACGAGTGTTGCTCTCGACGACAAGGATGGCATTGGCTGGAGGTGGTACATTCTGTTCATCGTGAGTTCTCTCTCAGTGCCACATGCGTTGGCTTCGATGCTAACTGAATTTCGCAGGTGTGCAACTTCACCAACGCTATCTTCTTCTGGGCATTCCTGCCCGAGACGGCCAAGCGCCCGCTGGAGGAGATGAGGTACCTCTTCACTGAGGCACCTCTATTTGTGCCCAGGATGGACCCCTCGCAGGCGACTTCTCACGATTTGGAGCGTAGGATTCAGGACGCCGAGGCCAAGCAGGCCGGTGTGGATGCTGAAGATGAGCATGTCAAACTCTGATTACCTTTCTGTATCTGATTTGCACGGCATTTGCTTGCCTTGACGGACATCGGGTTCCACTATAGAAGTTAGCTTTCGAACAACGGAAGCACGGCGACTGTTCATAGCTGAAAACCGGGTGTCTGACCTTATGAATTGAAATTCGGATCCTGTGAACTTATGACGACGCTGGTTCTTTTTGTTGCCGTCAACCCTTCCAGCAGTTAGCGGCGAGTGTTGGCGAAAGATCCATCTAACCGCTTTTCGCCCTGGCTCAAGATTTCGTTCACACCTCAGCCAGTGATGGTTACACACCGAAAGGACGGAGCACAGTTATTCTACGTGACCATTTGTGGTTTCGCTCTTGCTACGTTCATTACTCCGTAGACTCCCAACTTTAAATCTGACTTGTTCGTACTTTTCAATTTGGGCCAGCGCCCGCAGTCACCAAACCAACTGGTACAAGAGGTGGCTGAGCGGGAAAATCGATTTTCTACCGTCCTAAGAGAACCACCAATGGGCACATTAAGCGAGTGTTCATCATCCTTCGCAATACGTCAAAGTGATATAGACAACGAGTTACAACAAAATGTCGTTCCGTTTTTGGCCTCCTGCATTTGACATGGCCACGGCCAATAAACTCTCTACTTCGACACATCGCCAAGATACCTAGTGCTCGACTGCTTCTTATCGTCTTGTCAAATTCCTGGAAGTAAGGCACACAAACCGCTCCGTCGTGGTCTTGGCCCTTGACAGTACGGCAATCCGCGGATTGTCCCACGTCAATCAAGCTATACGTGGATCCATACGATACCTGGATCTCCAAGATGGCAGCAGGACAGGCATATTACAACACTTTGCATGCAGAGTCAGCCAATATTTGTCAAGCTAGTAGCAGTTCCGCCGATCGAGACCGCATCGACCGAGAATCGAGGCATTGACGCTCCGTCGCTCCATGTCGTCGTCCTTCTCAACGTCCGATGACAAGCACCAAGCACAAGCTGCGGGCTGACCATCGTATCATCGGTCTTGGCACCGTGCTAATGCCCTGCACGCCAACCGGGCGACTGTACTGGTACAAGCTAGGTATTGGGGTATCGACGTCGCGTCCTGCTCCAGCAGCCCACGCCGGGCAGCTGAGAGCACATACGCGCTCCGACTCCCACGCCTCGGCGCACAGATACGAACCCCGCGTCCTTCCCGAGGTTGCATCGGTCGCGGCGCGTGAGGGCGGCGTGCTTTGCCAAGTAAGGTGCGAGGCCCCAGAGGGCCGAATACCTCAACTGCGAGGAGGCCCGGTATTACTCATCGTTGTGGGCAGTGATCATGCGTGAGCGGCAGGGCCGAAGGGGGGATGGACGAGGGTGGGAGGACCTCTATTTCCGGAGTCACTGGCTTCGGGCGGGTGTCGGAAGCGCTTGGCATGCGAGGAGAGCCAAGAACTTGGCAGAAGGCTCGGTGACGGAAAGCGGCAAGAGATGCATGAAGGGACGGATTGCAGGCGCTGCGACCCAAGAAACTGCCGACTGACATTGAGACGAGTTTTCCGACGGGATTTGTCGGTCATGCAGGGGCAGTATGTAGGTACCATTCACCGCACACAGCCTGTTCCAGGGGCCTGGTTCCTCTTGTTCCCGGGCTCTATGGACCCTGTGCTCCAGGGCGCGGGATGTCGGGACGTTGAGACCGGACTTGAAATGTGATCAACGCGCCGCGAGACTCGAGAAGTTTGGAGGCAAGACTCTTTGTTCCTCCAATAATACGGCCAAACAGGGGTGTTTCGGGCATTAAGGTTAACCTTCTGGGATCTGGGCGGCGGAGCAGGCCAAAAAAAAAAAAAGAGATGCGATGACGGTGGTGGTGTCAAGCGGCTGCTAGGCTCTCGTGTGACAGGGCATCCATCTCCTTTACTGACCAGCCGGGCTAGCCAGTGACCACCCACCTGTAAGGCTGCATGTTGCGCCGTGGCGTGTTGCATCGCGAGGCCTGTGTCTCGCAAACAAGCGAGGCCCGGAGCCAATCGTCCCAGCTTTACCATGCCCTGTCAGTCACCACCTGAAGTGCTTTCTTGCCCTTGCCTGCTTGGCATTCAAAGAAGAAGCGCGGCCGATACCGTGGAAGAGACTCTTGGCCAGCCGGTAACTATTGAGCGCTCTGAGGACGAGGAGGAGGGGAGGGGGCATCAGGAAATGTCTCAATCACTGTTGCTTCACCACCAAGTCACCACTGAGGAGTCGTCGGGGGCCGTGCTGGCGCCATTTGACTCATGCTTAATATGCTTAAAGGCAAAAGTACCTTGCACGAGAGGTACCTACTTGACCGGGAATCAGGGGAATGGGGAAAAGGGGGGCGATGGCCTGATGAGACGATGGACAAAGAAACCCCATCCCGGTTGAAAGACAACGATTGAATGCCACATCCTCCGTCGGAACGGCTCGCTCGATCTTGGTCTTGGAGAAAGAGTGGTAGCTCAGCACAGCACAGCACATCATGTATGCACAGAGATCTGATTTGTCTGCCTCATGCCATGGCAGAGGGCGGCAGAGAGAGATGTAGGTCGGAGATGAGATTGATCCTCCGCCACAATGCCCCCCTGCTTCTCCCGCCCGAACGCCAATAGGGGCGTTAACGACCTCAAGTCGTGCGGCACAGCAACCACACCGGCCTTGCTGAATGGGTGGTCAGCCGAGGCCTTTCCTCCTACCCTGATCGTGATTCTGCAATTTTTTCACCCCTTCATTTTCCTACTCTTGACCCTCCTCCTTCTCGCAGCCGCCGACGGGACTTGAACCGAAAGGGATCAGTTGCCACGCGCATGACGCACGGGCGAATAGTCTCGGGATCCTTCTGCTCACGAGTTCACGATGATGGACGCCAAGTGGCTGAGCATGCACAAATGTGCCGTCTCGAATCCCTGGAGACAACCGCTTCATCCCACCATCACCCCATGACTGACCCCATAGCCGTGCTCTTGTGTGCCCCTATTGCCCCTCGGCCTAGCTCCAGGCCCGAACATGAAGCGGCGCGACGGGTGCGCTGGCGTGTGGAGAAAGAAGCTGGCTTGAGTGCCAACCACAGGTGCCAAACAACCCACCACAAGAGCGACTTTGGGGGTCACTAGCGCTGCCAAAAAATGGGTGCAAAAGGGGGGGCCTGGCCTATCCGGTGAAGCCGCCACGCCGAGCCCTATAACCCGCTGTGTGGAAAGGTTCTAGGTGACCATCATATCGCGCCGCTCAGGCTCCTCGACCAAGTGTCCGTGAGATTACGGATGCCAAGAACTAGGCTGCTTTAGGCCCTGGCGGTAATACGAGCTGCATCAGGGGATCGCGAGGGCTAACCTCATCAGGGTGGGCAACCACAAGCACTCATCCAGTACCCCTGGCCCGCCTCAGCTCACCACATTGTGCTCATGTGGTGCTCGTTAAGGTTGTCTCTCGGTCCGTGTGGTGTCCCACTGATTGTCGTGTGGCCGCGATTCGATCGAGGCGAGGCAGCCACTCCGACGCCATACCCTCACCCCTGACCTGCCTGATGAGTGCCCCCTGGGTAGAAGCAATTCACACTAGACAGGGAACACTGGTCAGAGCTGCAGATGTGGTTTTTTTTTTCTTTCTCTCCGCTCGCTAAACGTTCTGACGCATGATACCTGGTCCTTGTGTTGTTAGGCTGCTGTTGGTCTCTTGGCCCCGGTTACTGTGCCTCTTTTCGGGGCTTTCGCCAGCGCCTTGAATGTTTATAAGTAAAAGGGATCATGGCCCCCATCCGTCGTCGAATTTTGAAGGAAGACAGCCGAGACTTCTGAAGCCTTCGTTCCACCTCACAGTCGTTTGCACTGCCCACACTCGCTCAACACCTACATTCGTTTAACACAACCTAACATAATGTTTGTCAACCTCCGCAACTGCGTGCTCGGCCTCCTGGTCGCCGGTGCCACCGCCTCGCCCATCACCAAGGACCTGGCCACCATCGAGAAGAGGCAGAACTTGCCCAACGGCGTCGCCATCTTCAAGTGCACCGTTCCCAACACCATCGCCTTGACCTTCGATGATGGCCCTCACATCTGGACCGAGAACGCCGTCAACCAGCTCGAGGCCGCCGGCATGAAGGGCACCTTCTTCCTCAACGGCAAGAACTTCGGCGAGCTCAAGAACTATGTTCCTCTCCTCAAGCGCATGCGCGCCAACCGCCACCAGATCGGTTCTCACACGTATGTCTTGGCGCACCCTGGTCTTTCTTCGAGACCTACCGTCCATTGTTTCTTGTTCCTGAGACAGCGTCTCGCTAACACTCTCTTCATAGTTGGGACCACCCCTACCTCACCCAGCTCAGCGATGCCGCCGTCCGCAAGCAGATGACCGACTTTGAGAACGAGCTCCGTCGTCTCATCGGTTACTACCCCACCTACATGCGCCCTCCTTACTTCGACTACAACGCCAAGACCCTCGCCGTCATGAAGGAGCTCGGCTACCGCGTCATCCACGCTGACCTTGACACCAACGACTGGAAGTTCGACATGCCCGCCTCCATCGCCGCCTTCAAGGCCGGTGTCGCCAACAACCGCATTGTTCTTGCTCACGACGTCCACGAGACCACCGTCAAGACCCTGCTCCCTGCCATGATCAAGGAGGTGCAGAGGCTCAAGCTCAAGGGTATGTCGAGTCTTCCACATGGCCTCTTCAATTCGCACAGTAAACTAATGTCTCTTGCGCTACAGCCGTCACTGTCGGCGAGTGCCTCGGCGAGCCCTACGCCTACTGGTACAGGGTCACTCCCCGCGCTTAGATGTCCTCATGGATGGTCTGAGTGGCCTGGGTTGCGAAGGACGAAGCCGTATATTAATGATCACGAATGTCAGCCTGAATCTATTGTAGCATGCGCGCTTTTGCCGCTCTCACATATCTCTGTGTATAGAACCTCAAGTATTATTATTCATTACATTTATGATCACTTTGGTGTACCACTTGTCACAATAGGTTGTATGTCCTCGCGCATCACTGTTCATGCGATCAATGCCAACTAAATATGGCTTCAATCCTGAAGGTCTTAACAAACCCTTCCCCCCCCCTCCGGATTAGCATCAATGGCTACCCTCTTTCCAAGTGGCGCCGTGTCGAAAGGCTTCTTGAGAAGAGACTCTCGGAGCGTGTGTTTATTAACACCGTCATTCAAAGCTACTTTCAATGGGAGGAGTGGAAATCTTGTGTCAGATACGGCAGCCAAACACACCACTCATCATATCTAGTGGACTGTTAGTATGGAGCATCTCGCCCAGGACATCTTTCTCTCCGCTATGATATCACTGTGTCATGGTCGATTCGGCGGTGAGAAGCCCGAGAGGCGCTTGATAACGCTACCAGGGACTGGTGTCGAGTCAGTTGGAGTAGCGCTGGCGCATCTGGGCGGCGCGCGCGCACACACCTACACTAATGTTTCCAAGCACCTGGGCTATTAATACGAGGTCTGATCCTTGGCATGCAGGGATGAAATTACCATCGTGTCTGCTGCCCTGGGAAACGTCATACAGCCATCTCCAGATTCCGGAATATGCTTATCTTGGTTGTCCCCGCATGGATTGAATTAAAGTGCCGTTTCGCCGATCCATTCCGGCTCTTCGATCATTAGAGTTTGAACTGACACATGTGACTTGACAAAGACAAGGGCGCATACGATGGCAACTGCCTGCAACCTTGAGTCGCCAGTCTGGCAACCCGCGGAAGTTTCGGAAACGCGATACTGTTGTCGGTGCTCAGAGTGTACCAGGACAACGCCGAGGAGATTGGAACCAGGGTGAGTGATTAATAATATATGATACTACTTTACATGCGGTCGATCTCATCAAAGAGTCTTGTAGTGTGAATCATGTGCAATCGTTCGTATACTCGTGAAGGAAATTGGAAAGAGGAATTTTTGCCTCGCGGATGCGAGTCGTCGCTCCTCTCTTCATCTCATGCCTCACTCTTCCTCAAACCAGTCATCCTCAAGGTCCCACTCCTCCGAGTCAGAAGCCTCGCTGAGAGTCGTGTAGTCGTCGCCGGCCGCGTACTCGCCCTGCATCAGGGTGAGCGGGTAGCATCCGGTGACCTTGCCACCAGTGACAGTGTACTGGAGATCCTCGCTCATGAGCATGGCGGCACCGTCCTCGGGGTCCTTGGCGAGGAAGATCTTGGAACCCGAGTTATCCTCATAGTCACAGACAAGCAGGTAGAAAACCTGCTCATTGGGATCGACAGCCAGGTAGAAGTAGTCATCGGTCTTGTCATCCTCGCTATAGGGAGCAAAGGCGACGACGACACCAGCCGAGGGGATGTTCTCCTGGTCGTCGAGGCGGAGACGAGAGACGCCGACGGCAGACATGGAGTTGTTATAGTAATGCATGAGACGCTGGCCACCGTCCGTGACGAGGACGTCGTTCTTGGACGACCACATCTCAGAGCAGTGCTCATTGTCCTCGCCATCAACACCAAAGGCGTACATGTTGCCGTTGGAGCAGGAGACGATCATGGTAGTGGCCTCGGGATCAACTAGAAGCGCAAGGTCATAACCGGTGCTTGTGTTGTAAGGGCGATTAGGGAGGGTCTCAGGGGTGTAGCTGAGGACGCTGGTGCCATTGCCCTTGATCTTGGAGGTGATGTCGACGACCTTGCCCGTGATGTTTGCGGGGGCAGTGACCACAGCAGATGTGGTTGCCTGACGAGCGCGGACCTTTGTGGCTTCCTGGAAGTCAGAGTTCTCGAAGCCCTCCTCAGAGCCCCCGTCACCATCTTCGGGGTTCTCCTCACCGCCGTCTTCGGGGTTCTCCTCACCGCCGTCTTCGGGGTTTTCCTCGCCGCCGTCCTCTGGGTTCTCCTCGCCGCCGTCCTCCGGGTTCTCCTCGGGGTCGGTGGGATCAGTTGGGTTCTCGGGATCCGTAGGGTCAGTGGGCCCCTCGGGATCCGTAGGACCAGTTGGGTTCTCGGGATCCGTAGGAAGGTTGGACTCTCCAGGAGTTGCGGGGTTGGAGGGCGTGGCAGAAGCCGTAGGGTCGGCGGTTGCGGTAGGCTCCTGACCGGGAACACCAGGGAGTCTGCTTGTTGTCAGTTGGTGCTCACTCGTGACAAGGTTCTCAAATAAGTTGGGGGAAACTTACGCAATGCAACCGCGGGCAAGCGGTCTGTCATCGGTGTCCAGCAGGGGAATCTGGGTGGTTCCGAAGATGTCAATGAACAGCTTGTTCCTCCAACTGATCTGGGTGCTAATGCCCGTGCAACCGTCAATATCCTTGAATCCGGCGGCAAATTTCTTCTCCTCGGTCAGCTCGATGGAGGCAGCCACCTGCGCGACACCCTTGATCGAGGGCTCGTCGATGAGACCGACGGACTTGTCCCACTGACCGATCTGGAGACCGCAGCGGAGCCCAATGGGTAGGCCCAGAGTCGCGGCGAGCATGATCTCACCCTCGGCCTCGAAGACTGGCTTGAAGTAGGGGTCCCAGCCGTCGCGCTTGCTGTTGGAGGGGTTGACAAAGTCGATGAGCACGTGTGCGTTCTGCAGACCCATCTCGGCACCGGCAAGGAGCTTGCCCTTGGCCTCGGCCTCGAGCTCAACGCGGGAGCCAACGGTGATGCGGGGACCGATGGTCACGACGCCGTAGGACAGACCAGGGAGGCCGACATTCAGGAGCGTGTGACTGAACTCTTGCTTGTAGGTCATCTGGGCGTCGATGCCGACCTTTAGTACGAACTTGATGTCCGTGTTCACCTCAACCTCACCCTGGGTGAAGACACCACCGAGGGGAGTCCAGGCAGCACGGCCAGCGAGCTTGGCACTGCCGGAAACACCACAGCCAACGCAGAAGACGTTCATGTAACCATTGAGCTTCTTATTCTCATCGCCCTCCTGGTTTCCGAAAGCCTTGAGGAGAATTGAGTCACCCCACGGAGAAGTGACCTGTTTGGTCTCAGGATCCTTGAGGGTCTTGGCATCAGGATCCTTGGAGGAGGAGTCAGGAAGCTTCCAGCTCACTTCCTTGTTAATGCTGCCAGGAATAGAGCTCGCCTCTTGGGCAGACTTGTATACCTGCTTGACGGGCTGGACAACATACTTGTCCACAACGTCGCACAGGAAGCCACAGAAACGCTTGTTCAGGACACGGATACCCCGCTTGTTTGTCTTCCAGAAGTCGCCGTCGAAGGTCTCTCCCTCGGCCTCGGCATAGTCGTCAAGCTCGGGGGCGAGCTTAAGGGCGAAAGTCTTATATTCCGCACTCAAGGGCTCATAGCCGAGATCAGTGTCAAGGTCGTAGTCGAAGAGCTCACCCCAACAGGCTGAGGGCAAACCGTACTTGGTGTCAACAGGAGCATTGCAGTTGGGCTTGGCCGCAGCAAAGCCAGCCGATGTGCTACCAGCTCCAGGAGCAGACGTGCCAGAGGGGCCTTGGGAGTTAGAAGGAGACGAGCCGGACCCAGAGGCCGAAGGTCCGGCAGAGGCGCTGCCAGAGGGCGACGAACCCCCTACGGTCGTAGCAGTCACAATCGACGTCGAGCTACCTCCCCAGGTGAAGGAGGCACCAGACTGAGTGTTTTGAGCGCGAGCAGTGGTCGTAGGCCTGGCAGAGCTGGTCGTGCCCTGTCCTCCGACGCCAGGCAGGGTCTTGGTGCTCGGGGCCTTGGGGCCATATCCATCGTCGCGAGGAGTCCACCAACCCCATTCGGTCTCACCCTTGGAGATAACATCATCTGGGTGGCAAGGTTTGCCACCGGCGACGATGACGAGGTCACCCTTCTTGTACGAGAGAGCCTTGACCTGGAAGTAGCAGCGATCGCCCTTGGCGTAGTCGCCGCAGCCAGGGACGTACACGATGAGGATGACATCTTCGTCATCAGCCCAGGTAGAGACAGCGTGCTCGTATGCCTCTTCGGAGCCGAAACCGATCGTCAGCTCGTCAGAGTCATACTTGACATTCGTCACGTGGTCACAGTGATCGAGGTTAACCGAGGGGCTCTTGAAGTAGTAGGTTAGGAAGGCGAAGTGGCCGGCCTTGGAAGGATCTGAGTGAGTTGGGGTTAGTCATCGATGGTGAGAAGCTGATAGAGAATAATGTCATACCAGTGATGCCGTAAAACATTTCGGAGGCCTTCTCAGGGGCGATGGGGATGACGTTGGTGGCCGGGCGAGTGTCATAGTTCCAGTGGATGGCGGGGGTAAGGGTGGCCATAGGAGCATCGTGCTCAAGGGTAGCAGTCTTGCTTCCCTTAAAGCCAGAGTCTCCGTGGTCTTCAGCGATGGAGGGTTCGGGAAGAGAAGGAGCCTCGTAGGCCTTCTGGTCGTCGTGGGCACCAGCATCGCAGTGGGCGGGCTTGGCCGGGCATCCCTCGGCAGGACGAGCGTAGACAATGACAACTTCAAAGCCCTGCTGCTTCGGGGCTTCGATGGAGGAGTTGGCATATTGTGAGCGCTCTTCAATGGCTGGAAGAGCTTGAACAGCGACAGCAGCCCCAAGAAGGGCTGCAACAGAGTTGAACCTCATTGGGTAAAGAGCGTAAGGGTCAGAAACTGACCAACAAATAGAACAAAAGAGTGACTAGATCCTAAAGATCCACAAGGGGACGCACGAGGGAGTGACTGAGGTTGGCAATATTCCTGTCGATCTCGTCCCAAGCGGCTCGATACCTTCTTATACAGAGTCCCAAACATGCGGTTCCCTCGCTTGAAGCCGTGTAAGCATCCCACAATAGCAAGGCGCCCAATCCCTTAGCGCACCCGCCGTGCTGGCTCAAGGCCTCAAGCGTCTGCCAATTCCTCCTCTCCGGAGATTACCAACACTGAACTTCCCTTCAAGACGAGGCTCTCGTGAGGACCAAGCGCTACAAAGAAGCAATAGTGAACGCATGGCTCGGACGAGACTGTTATTGTTCCCACAGCGCCCTGCAGTGGGCCTATAGCTCAGCTGCGTCCTAGACGACACCGGGCATGGTAACGGCCTGGATGCGGAAAGCCATGTCCCAACTGGGGAAGAGGCCAACAGACGAAGACCAAGCCGGCCTCTTGTTAGCAGCAAGTAGGGAGCGCTAAACGGCAATAGATATACGCCACAGCGGCTGAGCGCGATGCATTGTGCGCTTGCGCAGGGGTAAAGCGTGGCGTGGTATTCAGGGTCGCCATTCAGCTGGATAAGCGACGCGCTAAGAACATGCTTCTTCCACGTTTCGGACAAGGTAAGTCAGGATGCGGTGAGGGGACAAACGCTCCGGTCGTGGCCGAGGTCCGCAACTTGATCCCCAAGAGGCATGCTCTCGGTCTTCTACCAATCATGGTGAGTTCGACGCAGGAAAGTATTGAAGGTCGACGCCAGCGACGCCAGCCACGAGGTCGGCTCGCGGGTCAATCGAGAATTTAGCGGCGTGGGAGCGCTCGGTTAGGGGAAAAGAGTTCCAGGGTCTGGTTTTAAGGTGAGGCCCCCTCCCCATGCCGAATTTGCGAAGATTGCCATGGCTCGAAAGGATGGCCTTTTGCCCGGATAACTCCGACAACCATACGTGCAGTCTACCACGTGAGGTGCATCACTTGCCACGACAATTTCACTCCCTTTTTGTTTGCATACTATGAGTCCAGAATATTGGGAATGAATCTCGTGGAATTTTAAATATGTACGCCCTCCTCGCTTTATGGAAGATTTGCTAAAGAAAATAAAGTTTTCACAGAATAGAAAATGTGCTTTCCAGAGTTCCATGCTGACCGACGCTGCCTCTCCCAGTCAGTTGGTTAATGCTCACATTGAGCCCAACATGGGCGGATTGCTTGCATGTATCTCATCTCACATCTCAAAACGAGCAAGCTCTTTAGTAACGGACCCAGCGGCCACGGATGGAGCGGGCCTTGAGCCTCGTGGGACCGACCGACGAGGAGATGATGCTCGAAACCTGGCTGGCGGCGACAGGCTTGACGAGGAAGCTCTTGCTCTTGGCCAGAGTGCTGAGCGCGCTGGTGGTCTTCAGTGAGGGAAGGGCACCGCTGCCAGAGGCCTTGTTGACCTCGCACGCGCGGCCAAGGGATGAGGAGCAGGCAGACGCGGCGGCGATGTCGGGGACGTTGTATACTGTGCCCTTGTTGCTGCTGGAGGTAAAGGGGTTCTTGACGGTCTCGAAGACATTGCCCTCGATCAGAGCAGTGGCTCCAGAGTAAACGTCAAAGGCGTGGCCCTGCATGTTCTTGAAGTAGTTGTTGGTGGCCTGGAAGGTTCCCGTAGTACCATCCTGGCCGAGCTTGGGGGCGCGACCGGAGACGTCGTGGTAGTAGTTCCTGTCCAGGGTGACGCGGTCGCCCTTGCCGTAGAACATCATGGTCCAGTAGTGGTCGCCGTTGCAAGACGCAGAGGTAGTCGTCTGGCCGTCGAACTCGCTGTTCGAGACTGTTACGCGAGATCCGTCGTAGTGGGTGACGATGAACATGCGGCCGACGAGGGAGATCTTCATGTGATCGATCCAGACACCGTCGTTGCCGCCCTTGAGGTCGATAGCATCACCACCCCAGACGATACCAGGGTTGAGGTTACGGATCTCGAAGCCCTGGATGATGACGTTCTTGGCGTTCTTCTTGATCTGGAGACCCTTACCGTTGAGAACGCCGGCACCGCTGCCGATAATGCTCTTGTTGCTGCCGACAATGAGGGGCTCGAGTCCGGCCTTGTCGTACTTGATAGAGCTGACAGCGACGTTGTCGGAACCTCCGCACGAGAGGGTTCCAAGGTAGAGTTGACCTCCGTTCTTGGCGCTGCAAGACTTACGGTCGCAGCCGGAACCTGTGGCCTTGGAGCCAGTGAAGTCCCAGGTCTTGTTGATAACGATGGTGCGGGGCACATCGTCAGCCAGGAGCTTTGCCAATTCGCTGGCAGACGTGGGTGCAACGGCCTTGGCCGAACCGCCACCCGTAACACCGGTAGCGAAGCCATAGGCCTTGCCGGCGACGGTCTGGGCGGTAGCCGCGGTGGCCATGACCATGGCACCGAGGAGGTAGTTGAGATGCATGGCTGTGATAATGAATGGATGGTGTGCGCGGCAGTGTTAAAGAGGGGATCAGTGGGTAGTGTTGATATAGCTACGCCGGCGCAAGCTAGTTCAAAGTCAATAGAGCTGAAAGAATGGAAGGTGTTGCAGTGATCTGTCAAAAAGAGTGAATGAACGAATGTGGTTGAAGAAAAGGTAGAATCACACAAGGCTCTGCTGATGTTGGCCTTTAATGCAATTGACGATTCTCTCCCCGTTCGGTCAGCGCATCCATGAGGCTTCAGGCCCCTGCGTCCCTAGATTGTTTGCGTCGAATGCCGAAATCCTGGAACCGCTCGATCAGCAGCATCCCGGAACATTGCTCAAAAATGCCCCTTGGGACCGTGGTCCAGAGCATGGTGGACCCATTGCAACAGGCATTGCCATGATCAAGCGTCAGTGTACCTCTGCGCCTCGCTCGAATCGGAGCCGAACGGCGAGAGACTTGCCAAGAACGTCGTCAAGCTAGTCCTGATGCCTCATTCTGAAACGCCCTTCCTGGGCCTCCGATATTACACAGGACTGGGCCCCTCCAGCCTCATGGCACCAGCATCTTGACAGCCCCTGACAATGTATTGAGATTGTGGAGGATTGCCGCTCAATGAGTCGCTGCGATAATGAATGTGGGTTATTGCTGGAGCCTGTACAAAATCACGGGATTCCCCGCCGCCACGGAGCTCAATTGAGGCTCACTTCAAGAACTTGTTTCACGTATGGTGTCCATGAGCTGACGGCTGTCACATAGCCACTCAGTTAGCCTTTAATTCTGCATTGGCTACTTTCCCATGAGTCCCGATCATGATGAAGAATCTCATGCCATCAAAAAGCTCCTCACGACTTGATCAAACCTTAGATCCCCGCCACGATCCTCGTCGTACGCCGTTATCGAGGAAGGATGATTTGCTGGGCATTTCTTGATCGACTCTTACGCGGCTGTTAAGATCCACGTCCGCGGTCTTGCTCATTCATTTTACACGGGCCACGTGCTGCTTTGCAAGAGCTGGGATATCGAAACGGCTGAAAGGACGAGAAACAAGAATCCGGTGCAACCAGGCGTCTGCCTCGATGATGGATGCGTGGTGCCGTTGAGCAGAGTTATCCGAGGGCTGCTGTATGTTCCGGGCATGGAATAAATCCTCATGTCCTAGTGCGGATGCCCCGTTCGCGGCAGATACCTGACGTTGCAATTGAGATGATTTAAGCGACACCTAGGCCGTGGAGATCGATCAATACATGAAGGTTTAGAGTTGATGTACTACCGTTAGTGACCTGCGGATCGTGACACAAAGTCGAGGCCGATACGACATCATTGTCAAACCTTATGTCAGTCGTATCGATGCGGTCATCAGCCTCAAACTTGCGATGCATGTAAACAACCCTCACTCCTGGTTCAAAGACGTCCCGGGTGTGGCGCGTCTTGGCCACCTTCATTCGCGTACGCGGTCAAATGATATGAACTGTCGTGTTCCAGAGCGTGACAGGAATGCTTTGCAGAGGCAGAGCCATAGCCACTGTTGCGCCGTAATGATTCATCCGTAGAAACTGTAAATGAGGCTGCTGGAGCATGACAGGGCCTCGAGACGAAATAACTGTGCCAGTGCATGAGACCTCCTGCCAGGCAACGAGCAGTGGATTCCTCCTTTGATAGGCAAGGTCTTGGTACAATCACTGTCCATTCAGCTGTGGCGTATCTACGAAGGCCAACGAGGCTCATTCAAACTTCCTAGCAGCAATCTTGCAACATTGTGCTGCATGGTACCGGCCTCCATAGTTGAGCCTGACGTCAGCCGCGATGCGCCGATAGCCAAGAGAACAAAGTGATGCGAGGCGCTGGGAGGGGTGGGAGGGATCAAGGTGCTGTAGGTCAAGTGGAGGTGCGGGCTGATTGGCAGATCGATGGCTGTGGTCACTCAGACGTGACCTCGTGGACGCTCAAAGCTCGATACCGAATACTGGCGATGCGCAGGTCCTGGGGGGCTTGTAGTGGTACGGACGGATGTAGGAGGGAGCATTTGCCGGCTGATCCATTTCTGCAGCTAGGCCAACAGATGGTCTCCATTGCTCGGCAGATACATTCTACTTAGGTAAATAGGCGTGTGATTTACCTCGCGGTAAGTTTCGATCGTCGTACTGTGGGGGAAATCCCGCCGTCTAACGTGCATCACTGCGGGCGGATACCCCACCACCCCCAGACGCATACCAGACACGATCTTGGAAGCAGCATCGCGTACGACGTGAGGTAGTCAGATAAAAAATGCCAAGTTTAATCTCAGTGAATACCTTGATGCTGGTTGAGGGGGTATAAAATCACAGAAAGTTTGGCTCGAACTTTTAATGGACGGCATGGTTCGGTTTCCAGTTCAAGTCGAAACCTTTCTTATTCCTGCATTCACCATGCCTCACGCCCAGCCTCGCCGCCTACCCCCTGGCTTTACCAGCGAGGATTTTGCCGCTTTTGTGAAGGCCATTATACGCATTGTCGGGGATGAAAACTTTTCCATCGTCTCGGCCGATGTAGAGCTGAAAGACGGAGACTATGTCAATCCTTGCAAAGCCCACGACATGCACGCCGTGTACGATAAAGAATTTTTCGTATCATGCGCCGTCGTTCATCCGAGGACTGTCACTGAAGTTCAAGAAATCATGCGTCTCTGTAACAAAATGCAGATGCCTGTCTGGCCTTACTCTGTGGGCCGCAACACCGGATACGGAGGAGCCGCACCACGGGTCCCGGGTACACTCGGCATGGAACTTGGAAGACACATGAACCGAATCCATGAAGTCAATGTTGATGGGGCATATGCTTTGGTTGAGCCTGGAGTCACGTTCTTTAGCCTTTATGACCATCTTGTGAAGACTGGTCTTGATGAGCAATTATGGCTAGATGTGAGAGAAGGACGAATCTCTCCCAATGTTGAATAACCCTCGTTCTCTGACACTTTCCAATCAGGTTCCAGACCTTGGAGGCGGCTCCATTATTGGTAGGCACCAGTCAGACTTCTGTGCGTATTTGTCGAGGTATTCGACTGACAGGCGCAGGAAATACTCTGGAAAGGGGCGTTGGGTATAGTGAGTACCAAACTTGGCCAGTTACTCAGAACTTGGTACTAAACCGGCCTGACAGCTCCATATGGTGGTCAGTAGCTCTTGAGCTTACCATTAAGCCCTCTTCCATCTAACATTTACAGACCATTTCATGATGCATTGTGGGATGGAAGTCGTTCTTCCAGACGGCACTCTCGTCCGCACCGGCATGGGGTCGCTTCCCGATCCTGCTAGTCGGAACTCGAATCTTTCAGCCGATCAACAGCCACCGAACAAAGCTTGGCAGCTGTTCAATTACGGGTTTGGTCCATATAACGATGGCCTTTTTACCCAGAGCAGCCTTGGTATTGTTGTCAAGATGGGAGTTTGGGTGAGTTCATCATTCGTCGCAGAGAAGCCCATGACTTCAGGAAGGCCTTGTTGCTAAACACCTGCTTTAAAAGTTGATGCCGAATCCGGGAGGTTATCAGGCATACATGATTACTTTCCCCCGTGACGAAGACCTTGGTGCTATTGTTGACATTATTAGACCTTTGCGCTTGGTTAGTTGAACCCTCTGTTCTTTGCATGTCTGGTCTACGATATTTCTAGCATTCCACTAACGAAGATAACTCAAGCAAATGGTGCTTCAAAATGTTCCCACCATCCGCCATATCCTCTTAGATGCTGCTGTTGCAGGAGACAAAGCCTCGTACACGGACAAGACAAGTCCTCTATCAGGTGATGAGCTGGATGCCATAGCAGCAAAGCTAGACCTTGGCCGGTGGAACTTCTACGGCGCAGTCTACGTATGTCACTATCCTGATTATTCAGATTTCCATTGCAACTGCAGAATGCTGTCTAACTCGACTCGGATTGCTCTTCTCGTAGGGGCCAGAGCCGATCCGAAGCTTCATGCTTGAAGCTATCAAAGGAGCCTTTTTGAAAATAGACGGCTCCAAGTTCTTCCTTCCAGAGGATCGGACCGAGCCCCATAGTGTACTGAAGACAAGAGCCAAAACTCTGCAAGGAATTCCCTCCTTGGATGAACTTCGCTGGGTCAGGTAAGTCCATCAAGTCTATTCAAAGCCTCAGATGTCACCACTCTCCGGAACTGCACGAACTGCGAGCATCACGTCCTGACGTATTTGAGCACAGCTGGCTGCCAAACGGAGCCCATCTTTTTTTCTCGCCGATCGCAAAAATCTCGGGCAAAGATGCAGAGCTGCAATACCGCGTCACAAAGCGCCGCTTCGCAGAAGCTGGACTTGACTTCATTGGTACCTTCACCATCGGCATGCGCGAAATGCGTAGGTTCCCCATCATCTTACGGCGCACATCATGATCTGATCCCAAGACTGACACGACGACAGACCATATTGTGTGCGTGGTATTCAATCGCGAGGATCCGCAACAACGTTTGAGGGCAAGGTGGTTGACGCGACAGCTCATTAAGGACTGTGCAGAGCATGGATGGGGCGAATACCGGACTCACCTGGCATTGATGGATCAAATCGCTGGAACCTATAACTTCAACAACAGCTCTCAGATGAAGCTCAACGAGACCATCAAGAATGCTCTCGACCCCAATGGGATTTTGGCACCTGGTAAGAACGGGATATGGCCGGCCAAGTACGATAAGAGGGCATGGGTACTTGAGAAGGATGAGGCGGATAAGCTGTTGTTCGCTGGCATTCCGATGACCCGACTTTAGCATCGATGGTTGAGATGTATGAGGAAGTATGCTGCCAGTAGATCGTGAATAGGCCAGGCAGACACAACCATTGTGGTTCGACATTGAGCAAGCTTTCCAAACCGTGCCTTGTAGAGAGCATGAATCGTACACCGTGAGGTTCCTTACGTACCGCATATCAGTTCAGCGACACTCGAATTACCGAACCGTCACGGATACCCGGCCTCCCGTAGTTCTCATGTAGTACTCAGCTCTTCCTGGATAG